GATAAACGAGAACCAGAAAAAACAAAAACCAAGAAAAGAACAAAAAAAACATTGAGAAACGTTAAGCTTTAAAGCATCGTTCATATATTATCATAATAATATGATGCAAAAAAATTTCTTAACTGCCAATTGTGCTTTAAATTCAAGCCAGCCATGGACGACTGTATTATACTACTATATATTGAAAACTGTGCCGTGTACAACTCCAAATCAATTGCATTTCTATATCTCCCCCCCATATGGTTATTCCATATTGCAATCTATACATTATTAACATATTTGTCAACTACGTTAAATGTGCCAATTACAATATATTTTTTTCGTGTTTAAGTCGCCTTATGAATTTCACCTTAAAATAAATGTTTTCCAACGTTGTAATTTTGTATAAAGTACGTGTTGAGCATTATTTGTTATTCATATTACGCAATAGCAAAAAGAAATTTCCGCTCATGCGAAAAACCTGCCAAGGATTGAAAAGAAAGGTAAGATGGAAAGTTCCAACCAAAATCATTTAGTTAAGGAGAAGAATTTTAGGTTTCTTTGTACGAGCGTCTTCTAAACTAACCTGTACTAGAAACTTATGGGATAAATTTGTAAAACCTCCAACGCTTAGAACAAAAGCTCTCCTTGAGAAAAGCAGCATAAGTTTAATAATTAATTTAAAATCCTCAGATTCGTTATACCAGGCGCAGTTGTACCAGTCAAAAAATAATAATTCGCTCTATTAAAAATATGTAGATGTTCTATTCAAGGGATTACTTTACCTGAGACTCAACCTTTTGCGCATTGACATTATATAAGCTGATTTCCAAAGTAATTGTTACCAAGTAAACCATAATCATGCCCATCCAGACCCAGCCTACTTCCTAAAATATTCAATATCCAATTAAAATAAAGTGATTTCTATATAAAGTTAGGAACATGAAGTTTACCCACCATCACAGTGCTGATCTTGTAGAGCAACATGCATATCAAAATGCTGCTTATCACGCATTGGACTAGAATTATATACTTAAAAACATTTTCAATTTGAGCATGATGTCTATGGAAGAGAACTTTTAAAATCTTCACACATGCAATTTAGTAAACGTCTTACCTCGAGATACGTGCAAAAAGTCGGGCACAACAACGAATATAAAACACCCTGGAGGATTTAGGAACCACAGAATCATTTGTGGAATTTTGGACCAGATATCGTAAGACCTCTATAAGACAGGCCTCATGGTTGGTAAGCACCACAAAGAGGCTGTTGAAGCCAAAGACAGCTGTTGAAAGTTAAATAAGACACTTACAAATATAGAAACCAAAATCAAGACCTACCAAAAAAGCACCAAACCGGACCAGATTGAAGCAGAAAGAAGCGCACGGAAAATGAGGGGAATTCATGTTTGCCCAGCCGCACAAAGGGCACGATAGCTGGATAGGCTACATAGAATAAGAAGTGAATAAGCCTAACCCCTATAGTTGTTGTTTATTCACTTACTCAAAGTCATTTCGCAAGTATCCTGCACCAAATAACAATCGTAAATATACTGGAAATATGGTCGCAAGCAATAATACAGAACGGGCATGCAAACGATCTTATAGAAGAACATGACCTGGCGATCGATCACCCGCCAGCTCCTTCTCAAAATAGAGCCCAACTTCTTGCACAACGCATGGGGGTTCGTCAAATCTGAAAAACAATATCTGAGATATACAAGCAACATAAAAGTTCTTTATCTTACGCAAATCAAATAGACCCAAGTGCTTTAATATACCGCCCGTCTCTGTGGTACGCACCAGCTCCACACAAGACTCCAGAAATCTGTGGAAATGCATCATTTTGACCATTCCCACTGACAGCTGAAAGGTAAGTAGCACAGCCTGAAAAGAGTCCAATTTATAATTAAAAAAAAACTCTACTAATTGCACACAGAACAAACCTCTACATAGGCTTCAAAAGAGACCACATAATTGGCCATTATAAATTTGATGAGACTGTAGATAATGCTCAGATTTACAAGCAATGCAAAAATGCGTAAGCTAGAAGATAAAATTCATAGTTAAAATTGCAATGTGTAATTTTATGGAATACTCACAATCTGCAGGGCCTAGAGGTGCGTTTCCTGGGCGCCATGTTAATGCCCAATGCGTAGGCGCTGTACTCCACCCAAGTTAGGCCAGGCTTGGGCAAATAATCAATTCTCTCTAATTCCCGATCAAATATATTCAGCATTCTGCACGGTAAAACCTAAACTGCGAATAGGAGTCTGACCACGGCAACCTTTTATAGTATTTTTTAGTGGGAGGTCCTAGCTCAATTAGTATTAAATTATATGGTTGCTTCTAGGCAAATTACTTGATTGTTTGAACATTGTGCAACTCTTGCTTAAGGAGCAAAATAAAAAAAATAGCCTAACGAGGCGGTATGAGAAAACATTAAATATTAAGAGATATAGTTAAGGGCAAAAGACTTTGACTAGACAACACAAATTGAATTTAAAAGAAATTTTCTTTGAACAGTTTTATTAAGTCAAACCTCAATCAGCCAAAGGACATGACTTCTTAGTAGACGAACAAGTCTCAGTCACAACAAGGCAAACAAAACTGGATGTTGAGAATTTAGAAGTCCCAAAATAATTGAAAGCAAGTAAGAGGTTCTAGTCGGGAGCTCCCGACTAGGGGATACCCTGAACCCTCTTCTTCCAACAGGCGATAGGTATAAAATGATAGATACTTGATATATATATACTATTCTAGAAGCTACATGTCAAGTTTGGTGACTCTATCTCATATTATTTACCAAAATTGCTCAATAAACAGGATTTCGATATCGATTTTGATCGATTTCTTGGAAACGGGGCAAGTTATCGAATATCGGAAACAAACTCGATCTGCGCGGGCAGTAGGAGGACCTGCAGCTAAAATTTCAAGTCTCTAGCTCTTATAGGTTCTGAGATCCTTGCGTTCATAGATACGGACAGACGAAAAGACGGACAGACAGACGGACATGGCTAGATCGACTCGGCTGTTGATGCTGATCAAGAATATATATACTTTATGGGGTCGGAGATGCTTCCTTCTGCCTGTTACATACATCTGCACAAATACATAATACCCTTTTTACCCATTTTCAATGGGATCAGGGTATAAAAAATAGATAGTATGTTAATGGAATTTTTTGAATGAATGGGCATGCAAATTTTTTTAAAAATTAACGGCTGAGGCATTTGCGCGCAGTTGGCAGCACCAACAGCTGTTTTACCTGTGAAAGTGCAGCAGATGGGCAGCACTCTTAATATATAAATCGCATTTTATTTGTTTACTTGTTTTCGAATCGTTCAAGTCCAAAGTTAAATCTGAAAGCGGGTGGCTAAAGGCTTCGCCTTGATGACCAAAATGAGCCCAATTAAACAAGAACTGCTGCAGCCGGTGAAGCCAACAAATCCCCTTGTCTACTTCGACATCAGCATTGGCGAGGAAAGCGGTAAGCAGGAGCTGCTCATTATCTGTGTGCTTGACCTAGTTAATTGTTATCGTATGTACATATTCGTAACTGATTTGCGCAGCGGGACGCATGGTAATTGAACTGCGCAAGGATGTTGTGCCAAAGACAGCGGAAAATTTTCGTGCTCTCTGCACGGGCGAACGTGGCGTGGGGCAGCTGGGCAAACGGCTGCATTACAAGGGCACGCGTTTCCATACAATCAAGCGGGTGTTTGCGGTACAAGGAGGCGATCTGGTGAACAACGATGGCACCAGCGGCGAGAGCATCTATGGTCCACTGTTTGAGGATGAGAACTTTGAGCTGACGGTGGGTGTACATAAATGCATTCATATCTATTAAACTTTACCCCATAAATGACTCTTACCTGCAGCACAATGAGGAGGGCGTGGTCAGCATGGCCAACTACGGGAAGCCAAATACAAACAACTCGCAGTTCTTTATCACAGCCGTTGGCTGTGAGAACCTCAATGGCAGCAATGTCGTTGTGGGCCGTGTACTGCGGGGTCTGGGCATCGTTGCCGAAATGGAACAGAACTGCAACGATGAAGCCCATCCGACGACGGATATTACGATAACCGACAGCGGCGAGCTGGCTCCTGGCGAGGATTGGGCCATCGAATGCAGCGATGAGACATCAGACAAGCTGCCGCCCTATCCCCAGGATTGGACGGGCAAATTCCACAAGCCAACGGTTGGGTTAAATTATGCAATGTCATCGTGACAGGTGCTAAATATTTATTGTTGTTTTATGTGTTAGGTGGAAACAGCTGTTAGCCTGCTCACAGGCCTGCGAAAGTCGGGCAATCACTTTTTTCAGCTGGATCGCTTCCATGAGGCGCGTGCCAAATACCGCAAAGCGAATCGTTACTATACGATGCTGCGCCGAAGCTTCGACTGGCAGGAACTGAAACGCAGTCAAGCCGACTCCGAGCTGAGACGATTGGATGCCTTCTCCGTGGTGAACAACATCAATATGGCGGCTGTGGAACTGAAATTGGGCAACTATCAGTATGCCAAATACGAGTGCTCCGAGGCAATACGCTTGGATCCCAACTGCAGCAAGGCGTTCTATAGACGAGGACAAGCGCAACGTGCCATGCGTAACTACGAGGAGGCCATAAACGATCTGAAGCATGCACATAAATTGCTGCCGGAAAATAAACAAATCCTAAATGAATTAAACGGCGCCAAGCAGCTGCTGGCCGAATATAATAAGCAGCAACGAAAAGCGCTCAAGAATCTCTTCAACTAGTTGAGGGGTTGCTAAATATCTTTGACAGCGAGTTCGTACAACACACCTGACTAAATGCTAAGATGCAAACTTGCTCTATTTACTGTAGGATGTTCCAGTTGACTGTGAACAGAGAAAATACAAATACTTTGTAATTAAATGTTTATACTATTATAGAAAGAAATACCTATTGCAAGTTATTGTTCAATATCCCCAGGGGCCACACGAAGGGCTGTTTGCTGGTTCCGTATCTATGTCTATAGATGATAATTGCGATAGTTGTTAAATTTGTATGTATATGTTATATAATTATATCGTACTTAAAAACACATTTGTTCATACACAATAATGCTTGTTCAACTCTCAACTGAATGATAGTGGCCTATAATGCTGCTTAAATACTAAAAACTAATTTGATTACATATCAAAATGAGCTTAATCCTGCACTAATCTTAACCATATGTAGGGTTTCCTCTATATTTAAAGATTTGTCACAATGTCCTGCTCGCTGCGATGCAAATTACTTGAACCGGCCCCCATGGAGTAGCTTTTCATATTGATTTCCATATTGGTCAGGGCGCTAGAAACGTGATACAAGTTCTCTGAGAGTATCGCATATACCTCAAACAGCTCCGAGTCCGATTTGGATACAATAAAGGCTTCTGCTGGTCAGTTAAATAATTACAAATATGTTCCAAAGAAATACATTTTGAGTAGAAACAAACCTGTCCGATCCTTCATAAGGCTATGGGCATAGGCATTCAATATTATCGACATCTCATCGAACTTGATGCGACTGTCCAAATTTCCATAGGTAAGGATGGTCAGACTCTGATCACCAGCACTAAGCGTCGACACGCGTCGATACTGTCGCACATGGGAAATGGCGCTAGTCCAACACTGCCGGTCGATGTGCTCGTGCAGCGACGCCTCGAACTCCTCATGCGTCATGGGTAAGCCGGGCGAGGGCGTTGGCGTATGCTCACCCTCCGTTGAGGTGGATGATTCCAGGCAATCCAGCTCAGCTTCGCTGGTGCAACGCACCAAAGCATCTCGTACCAGGGCATAGAGATCGGATATGTCATGCATCTGCAAGGGAACATTAGGTTAGAGCTGAGCAAACTCCGACTGGACAGCAGCACATACGTCTTCATTGATGCGAAAATGATTAACCACATTCGAGGATATTTTATGATTCGATTCAATCAGCAAAAGTAGCTGAAACATAAGCTTATACAAGGAACGTCCCAAGTCCAGCACAACCTCCGTTGAGGCTGGATCAAAGGGCATGCAAGGAATGCTGGAACTGCTCGGCAGCTCCAAGCCCGAGGCAGCCACATCTGCTTCATTGAAGAGAGACAGTTTGCAGGATGTTTTCACTGCGTCCAGGCACTGCAATTGCGAATCTCACATTAAAGCAGATGGTAGAGAGTATTTACTAAGGAAAATCACCTCCAGTACTTGATCCTTGCGATCGAAGAACGTCTCCAGATGCTCCTGCACCTCCAGCACATTGAATCTCAGAGTTTCAAACAGCTTTGGCGTGGTAGTCTGCATCTCGCTGCACCACACACGCGGCGGATCGGCACGCGAGCTCAGCAAATCCGTAAAGAGTGAGATGCGATTGCCCAGCTGGGAGCCGATGCCGGTGAAGAATTTCTTGGCCTCCTTCGAAATGGTAATTGTCTTGAAGGTCAACTCTTTGATCAGCCTGTATAACTGCTGCAGCAGCTCGGAGGTGTGCGCTGAGGGTTGATTAACCAGCATGGATTGCAGCTGGCGTCGCCAATTCTCCTCCGCCTCGTCGCGAACGACGGCGCCAAAGCGAATGATGCCCTGCATGTGTGGCGAGGCATTGCATGGCGTGATATCACCCAAATCCCCAGCACTTGAACCGCTGGTATCACTGCGGGACACGGAATTGCGGCGACGTCGCTCTCGCAGGCTCAGGGAAGAAGGCGGTGCGCCGCTAAAGATGGACTTCAAGAAGGATTGACGGTGATCGTCGTCCAGCGGTGACTCCGACTCGGCTTCCTCATCGGATGAATCGTCTGCGGTCTGTCGCTTACGCTTGCTCAGAATTGGTGTCTTATCGCTGAAGCTGTCCTCCAGTGCAGAGGAATGGCCGCCCTTGATGGATCCACCCATTCCGCTACCGAGGTTCAAACGGTCCTCGTCGCCTTCGAAGAGCTGATGGCGACGTACACCCCAATTAAAGTTGTCCGTGGACTCGCCGGCGATGCTGTCCTCGTACTCCAGAAAATCAAAGTCCTTGAAGACAGTAAAATCGGGCTGGCCATCGTCACGACGCGAACCGCTGCTTAGATCGCCCTGCGGACCCGATGTTTCCTCGGTGGACGAGGCGGCCGATGATTGCCGTTCCATCAGATCCGAAGATTGGCTAAAGATGACCTAGATGTTGGCAAGCGAATAAGGGATTAGTAACCACTTAAGCAAAGAGACATGCAGGGCTAAAACTGAAGTAGATCTAATAACTAAATGTTAATTAAGAAAAAGACTGGAAAGCTTACGCTTTGTCTGGTCGCAATCGATCCCGTTAGTAGCGATGTGCTCAAAGACTGAACGTGAACAAGAAAACGAAACGGTACAGTTTGAAACAAAACACACATGCAAAAAGTCAAAAGTACGGAAGGACACGAAACGAAACAGAACAAGCGATGCCAGCAGGGTCTGTTCCAATTTTCGTGAGGCCAAAACGGCGGAACGTGGAAATGACAATCACGATTCAGATACGAAAACTGGAACGATTCCTGTGGCATGTGTACGGTACGGGTGGAATGAAACAATGAGCGATGCATATAAGAACAAATGAAATATGAAACGAGCCAAAACAAATTACGTAAACAAAGACAAAGCTACACGTGGCATTGAGAAACATGTTCCTTTACCTTTGAGCAAATAGAGTTTATAAAATCATCCTATAATTGGGTTTGGTTCGGGTTGTTAATGATGATTAAATGGCGTGTTAGTTTTAGTTTGACATTGGATTTGTTTTTTTTTTCGAGTTTGATTTGGTTTTAATTTGGTTGTATTTTTTTTTTAAACATGAAAGAAAAAGAAGTAGAAATAAATAATTTTGTAGAGATGATGGCCATATTAGAAAGCAGGAGCTGAAAAAGCTAGCGCTAGGGGAGCTCAAAGCATGCACCTTGCTAATGTACAGGCTGACGAAACTGTCGACCCCTGGCCGCAGTCTTTGTGGCCACACACTTACCGATGGCGACTTGGGCAGACCGACGCGCTGTCCACAGGTGGTCAATAGATTCACCAGACACTCGCGCACACGGCACTGCGACATCCAGGGACGCTTCCAGCCGCTGAGCGGCACGGTATCCGCCGGCGACAGACTAGCACTGCGCCGCGGCGAATTGGGCGTGCCCACAACGCTGCCAAGGCCAATGCCATGCTGCTGTTGCTGCTGCTGCTGGGCAGCAACGGCCGAGGCGGCAATGGCAGCCACATTGCTGTGGGCGCGATGCTGCTGCAGCTGGGCGCTGACCTGCTGAGCAGGCGCAACCGTCACGGTGGTGGCGTTGGTCAATGTGGAGTTTAGCGATGAGCTGCCCGTGGCCGATGCAGCACCGCCAGAGCCTGGATCCTCGGTTTTGAGCAGAATGCGACGCCCGATAAGCGGCGTTTGGGACACATCGAATGTGAATTCCATGGTGCGGCCGGCCAGTTCCTTTTTACAGAACATATCCGAGTCCGGATATGCGCCATAGAAGGAGAACGATAAGCCGGCGCTGCTGCCATCGCTGGGCGGGACCACCTGCAGCGAGGAGCTGCGTGTCACAATCAGTTTAAGTATCTTCAGAGAGTCCTTCCAATTGACCGTCTGCAAACAACAAATGCGAGTAGAGAACCGCTTAAAGGATCTTTGATAAGTTCACACTCACATCCAAATATTTGCCAATGGCACGCAACAAATCCGCATTGATGGTCTGCGCCTGAGGCGCCGATAGATCCACGTAGTGCAGCATGCAATGAATAACATTCAGCACCGGAACCTGCACCTGTTGCGGCCCCTTCTCCAGCACCTCGATGAGGAAGGCCAACATATGGAGGCCCATGTGAGCGTATGTGTCATGCAAATACTTGACCACGCACTTGGTCCACTGGAACGATTCCTTGCAGAACGTTTTGCGACTGTACAATGTCATCACAGTGCCCAGATTCTCCAGTTTGGCGCCCAGTTCCGTGGAAACATGTGCGATATTCTCAGCGCTGCGTATACAAATCTCATTGGCATCCTCGTAATGGAGCAGCATGTACGGCAGCAGGGCGATCACGTTCATGGGAAAAGCACAGCTCTGTGTGGGATCACATACAGGCAGGCTGAGCAGCGGCGCGAACTGGGCCAGCAGCATGATTGTGGGCTCATAGGTGGCACTGTGGGTGCAGCCCTGAAAAAATATATAAATTAAATTATTTGGGTTCCTTTTGTTTGTTTCGAGCTGCGCCCACCTTCAATAGCAGCGCATGGACGCCTGGGTAGGCGGTCCATTTGAGCTGCTGCTGCAACTTCTCAACTTTGTCGCGCGCATCGGGACGATCCAGCGGCAGTCGATGGAGCACTCGGGTTAACAGGCGCAGGGCCAGCATGAACTCGTGCTCATAGTCCGATTCGAGCAGCGAAACTGACAGCCAAAACAGCTGCGCCAATATGGTCATCTTGTCATCCTGCGTGGCCGTATCGCCCAGCATTTTTAGGCTCTGTGCGCTGCGTGAGCGCGACAAGGCGGAACCGGCGCCTACGCCCACTCCGCCCACGCCAAATTTGCTGACAACACTTCGTTCCAGCTCAATGCCAGAGGCACGATTCCGCAGCTCCGCCTGCTTGTCGCAGGGCGAGTTGTTCGCCTTGCGTCCGCAATAAGATACCGAGTAGCTGGTGCTGCGTCCATGGCTGGGTATTGAGTAGTTGGAGGATTGCGGTGTCATGCCCGAGGGCGACTTCTTGCCGGGCAGAATGGAGTTGGGACCGCCGTCCTTGTTGTTCAAATTGGGCGTGCTCTTGAATATATCTTTCATCACATCCAGCGGTCTGAAGTCCGAGTCCAAGCTGTCCACGGCAGCCTCCAGCGTGAGCAGCAACTCCGTTACATAGCCCTGCATGTCCTCGCCCTGCTCAGCCACTGTCTCCACCAGACGGGACAGTATGTCTGACAGCATGCGCGAGTTGATGGGCACATTGAGAGCGCGAAAGATTTGCAGACAGCGTCCGGCATAATGGCGCGAGGAGCAGGACAGACCCAGCTGCAAGGCCGTTTGCGCCCAGCGCTCGGCAATGCGCGCCTGTGGATAGCTATCGGCAAACACCTTGACCATGTGCTTCAGGAAGCAGCTCAGCTGCTCCGCGGATTTTACGGCCCACACCTTCGCCGTGATGTCCTCATAGTTCCAGAGGGGCTGGCAGGTATCGTGGGCGAGGAACTTGAGCAAACTCTTGATCACATGCGCAATGGGCATGCTGGGGCCCGGCTGTGGTGGGGCATGCTCATCTGCATGGATTAACGGCACCTCCGAGTTCTCCGTATTATTCGGATTGATCTGCAGCGCCGCGGGCGTCGAGGCTAGTGCCGCTGGTGTGGCATTGCCCACTCCCAGCCCAGGTGGCGGCTGCTGCAGATTCTGTGGCAGCGTCTGCTGGTTGGTCGAGTGCGGTGCAATGATTGTCGAGCTGGAGAGATTGTGCTGCAGCGCATAGGCAGCCGCCTGAGGGCTAACATGCAGCAGATAGCTATCAAATGTCTGATGCAGCTCCGTAAAGTTATTGTCAATCACCGGCAGAGCCGGCACCGTCAGTCCCAAGTCTAGTTTACTTGTCTCGCTGTTGAGCAGAATGCGCGCCACCGTCAGATGATCATTGTGCTCGGCCAGGACAATCAACAAATTGACGCACAGCTGCTTGCAATGCTCCCGCACAATGATGCGCGTGTGATCCAGTCCCAGGAACAAAATGTGCAGCATCAGTGGCAAATGAAGCGTCCAATCAATGCCGGGAATGCCATCCACCACAATGTCCGTCAGCAGCATGACCGCCACGTTGCAGCTGTAAGAGAAGAGAGCGCGATTTAGTTAAACTTAGCTGAACATACAAATTATAATTGTCGGCTGTTCGGCTGCCGATTTAAACCAAATTTCTGCCTTTAATTTCGTGAAACTGGTTTTCCAAATAAATGAAACGCTTTTTATTATTCGACGAAAAAGTATGGTTCAGTTCGGATTTAAATATAAATCAATAAGACAATAAAGTATTATTGGATTCCGGGGTCGAATAGGTTCAATTAAAAATCGTTCGCCAGCTTTAACAAATTTTCTTAGAAGGTTTTCAGGATTCTAGGAAGACATTATCCTAATTTAAAGAATATATTGAATTTTTTCCTTTCATAAGAAGCTATGCATATAACAAAGTTTCTTATTATATTTAGAAAAAAAAAGTATAAAGATTTAGAAATAATATTGAAAGGATATATAATAATTGAGACTTGAATATTCAAAGCTCTTAGCGGCTACTTGTTTTTACTTTTAAAACTATTTGCCTAATGCATAAAATCATTAATTGTTGGTGCTTAAGGTATCTTGTTTACCCGACAAACAACTATTGTTAATTAGTTTATTTACGAAAAATACTGAAAACGTGCCAACTACAAATGTGGGTCAGGTAACTATATAAGCCAGAGTTTAGCTTGTTTTTAAGTTGTACCAATTTGATACATTCAAAATGAAGGTGTTGGCTATATTTATCCTGTCTACCGTTGCTCTGGCAAGCTGTAACACATTGAGGCTCGCCGAAGAGGAGCTGGAGCCTGAGAATATCATCACGAACGGCTACTTAGCACCAGAGGGCAAGGCGCCATACATTGTGTTCTTGGCGTTCCGAAATGGCAATTCGGGTGCATGGTGTGGTGGCTCCATAATTGGTAATACTTGGGTGGTCACCGCTTCGCACTGTTCCAAGTCTTTCAACTCTGTGACCATCTACTATGGCTCCAACAAGCGCGCCCAGGGCTCGGTTACACACACTGTTACCGGCAACAACATCATAAACCATTCCAGCGATGACATCGCATTGATACGCACCCCGTACGTCAATTATTCCGATCGCATCAAGCCGGTGAAGCTGCCCACTAATGGTGGAAATCTCTACGTCAACGAACGGACCACGGCCTGCGGCTGGGGACAGACAACTTCAACTAGAACGCCCGAAAATCTACAATGCGTCGATGCGACAGTTATATCCAACTCTCAGTGTGCCAGAACCTATGGCACCCGCACGGTCCAGAACCAAATTCTCTGCACAAGCACTTCGGGCGGCAAATCCATTTGCTCCGGCGACTCTGGCGGTCCGCTGGTAACACAAAGCGGTACAATTCTGATTGGTATCAGTCAGTTTGTTTCGGCCAGGGGCTGCACAGCTGGCGATCCGGCTGGCTTTTCGCGCGTCACAAGCCACCTCGGCTGGATACGTGCAAACACTGGCATCACAGGCTAAAGCCTCAACTTCTAATATTGCAATAAAATTGCTTCAAATTAAAAATCTATAAATATAATTGCTAAAGAAAACCCAAAAAATATAAATATTCAATACACAACTTTTAACTGCAATCCATGTGAACTTTTAATTTGTGAAGATTCTCAACCAATCTAGTCTTCAAACTTTGATTTGCAAGTCGTCTGGTTTGATTTAGAAGATCCTAAGGATAGGTACACGAAGAGGTATACGATACGGTATAAATTTAGATGGCTTTTTTATTTTAACCCAGCAACATGTAGAGAGTTTTAAAATTTAGAGAAATGAAAAAACTTGCCAAATCATAGACTCAACTTATGAACATTCCCAAGACTTGCAATATTATTCTTGGTCTAAGTTCATGTGAAAATAATACCCTCAAATATCTTACATAGGCATAGGTTAAAATTTCCCACCCTCATAACTCGGTCAAATATTATTAGATTTTCACGAGGTTTGCCTCTTTTATAATGGCTTGGCCTCTAGATCAATTTGGCATCTAAATCTGGCAACATTATTCTTGGTCGAAATTCATGTAAAAATGGTACCCTCAAATATCCTATATAGACATGGGCCAAAATTTCCCACCCTCATAACTTGCTCAAATCTCATTAGATTTGAACGAGGTTTGGCTCTTTGTTAATGGCTTGGCCTCTAGATCAATTTGGCATCTAAATCTGACAACATGATTCTTGGTCGAAATTCATGTAAAAATGGTACCCTCAAATATCCTATATAGACATGGGCCAAAATTTCCCACACTCATAACTTGCTCAAATCTCATTAGATTTGAACGAGGTTTGGCTCTTTGTTAATGGTTTGACCTCTAGATCAATTTGGCATCTAAATCTGGCAACGTTATTCTTGGTCGAAATTCATGTAGAAATGATACTCTCAAAAACACATAGGTCACAATTTCCTACTCCCATAACGCAGTCGGTAGCCATAAGTTGAAATTTGCCAATGATTTGAAAAAAAATTACTTCCTTTAAAGTTTCAGATAAAGCTTTTTAATATATAAAATAAAAACATAATAATATAAAAAAAAATTAACCTAACCAGCATTAAAGTGAGTGAACTACTTGGATAACTAATGTCTTGAACCATTAACTATCTATTCTTATCCTCAATTTTTATGTTTATTTTTTCTGTTATCAACAGTTTGCACCAAATAATTATTAACAAACTCAGTAATTAGTTCGTCTAAACGACTATATAAGAACGCTACCGCAGCCGGTTTTAAACTAACAAGTTCAGAATGAAAGTTTTGTTACTACTCTTGTCTTTGGGGTTTGCCTTTGCAAGTGGCAATCAAACCACGACAACAGCCTCTCCGGATCAGCATGAACCGGATAACATCATAACCAACGGCTACCCAGCCTACGAAGGCAAAGCTCCCTACATTGTCAGTCTTTTAATAAGAACTGATGGCAGCAATAGACTTGCAATTGGCGGGGGCACCATCATCGCCCACACTTGGGTTCTGACGGCTGCCCATTGCCTCACCACGGACTACGTGGACATTCATTACGGCTCCAACTGGCGAGGAAGAGGCCAGTATAGTCACAGAGTTCGAAGCAATAAATTCATTCGTCACCATCTCTGGCCTAATACGAATGGCAATGACATCGGTCTGATTAACACTCCTCACGTGGATTTCACAAACAGGGTCAATAAGGTCAATCTTCCCAGTTTCAACCAACGAAACGAGCGCTTTGAGAACTGGTGGGCAGTTGCTTGTGGTTGGGGTGGACAGGCTAATGGCCAACTGGCTGAGTGGCTGCAATGCGTCGATCTACAGATAATGGGCAACAATGAGTGCTCCCAAACCTATGGCAATATACCCGGGGGCATTTTATGTGTGAGAACACCTGGCGGCAAATCCACCTGTGGTGGGGACTCTGGCGGACCATTGGTTACACACGACAATCCCGTTTTGGTGGGTGTAACATCTTTTGTTTCGGGCGCCGGCTGCATGGCCGGACACCCAGCTGGTTTTACGCGTGTGACGGCCCACTTGGACTGGATACGTCAGAACTCAGGCGTAGCTTATTAATAATATAAAAAAAAAACCAGCTAATAAAGGCGCATGATTTTCTTAAAAGCATACAAAAAAAAGAAAAATATTTGTAAACTTAATTTTAGATTTGTATTGCTCAACATAACTATATTTTAAAGAAATGTTTAGAACAATCTGCTTAGAACCTGCTGTGTGTCCAAAAAGAAGTGATGGAAACAGTTGCAGAGTCTTAACATATATTAACCTGACCAACACAGAAGTCAACCAACTACTTGGAAAACTAATTTCTTGAACCATTAACTATCTATTCTTATCCTCCATTTTAGCTTCTTTTTGCAATTATCACCTGTTGGCCCCAAATAATGCCGTAATTACTTCTTCAAAACGACTATATAAGGTCGTAACCGCAGTCGGTCTTTGACTTGCGAATACATGATGAAAGTTTTGTTACTACTTTTGTCTATGGCAATTGCCTCTGCAAGTGGCAATCAGACCACGACAACAGCCTCTCCGGATCAGCATGAACCCGAAAACATCATAACAAACGGCTATCCAGCCTACGAGGGCAAAGCTCCCTACATTGTCAGCCTCATGATAAGAACTGATGGCAGCAATAGAGTTGGAATTGGCGGTGGCACCATCATCGCCCCCACTTGGGTGCTGACTGCTGCCCATTGCCTGACAACGGACTACGTGGACATTCATTACGGATCCAACTGGCGAGGAAGAGGCCAATATAGTCACAGAGTTCGAAACAATAAATTCATTCGTCACCATCTCTGGCCTAATACGAATGGCAATGACATCGGTCTCATAAACACTCCTCACGTGGATTTCACAAACAGGGTCAACAAGGTGAATCTTCCCAGTTTTAACCAACGAAACGAACGCTTTGAGAACTGGTGGGCAGTTACTTGCGGCTGGGGTGGACAGGCTAATGGCCAACTGGCTGACTGGCTGCAATGCGTCGATCTACAGATCATGAGCAACAATGAGTGCTCCCGAGCCTATGGCAATCTACCCGGGGGCATTTTGTGTGTGAGAACACCTGGCGGCAAATCCACCTGTGGTGGGGACTCTGGAGGACCATTGGTTACACAAGATAATCCCATTTTGGTGGGTGTAACATCTTTCGGTTCGGCTGTGGGTTGTTCGGTAGGTCATCCAGCTGGTTTTACTCGTGTGACCGCTCACTTGGATTGGATACGTCAACACTCAGGAGTTGCATATTAATAATCCAAATAGTTATATTGAATGAAAAAACTAATAAAGAAGCATACTACAAAAGCAGTTTGGTTGTTCTCATTAGCAATGTAATTAAAAAAGTTTGTCAAACTGAAGTTAAGTTCTGTATTGTTTGACGAAATTGAATTTGAAAGCAATATTATTAGAAATACCAAGAAGATCTATAAGGACTATTGTTCGAAATGAAATGGCAGATTTGACTGCGAATCAAGCAAGCGTTTGCTACTTTGTGAGTAACTCAAAAGATATTCCTTGGCGTTAAAGGTTGAAAGTATCCGATCGTGGTCTAAGTTTATATTTTTTGGATTGAGTCACAATTACTTCTGTTTTAATAAAATGAAGCAATGCCTGTTTTAAATATAATTCTTGGTATTGTGCTGGGCATTCAAAAGATATTACTTGGTATTATTACGAGGAATCTGTATGAAGTTAATTCTGCAGAGTGCAGGAAAACCTTTGAAATGTTTGTTTCTTTTAAAGATCCCAGTTAATTTGTAAACGAATATGAATGTCATTTGTATTTGTGATAAATAATCTTTCGGCTAATGTCTTGCATCATTAGGTACTTCCCATTTGAACCCCTCATGACCAAAATCTATCAATTTAAGTTCCACAATTAGCGACGAAAGCAATAATTAGTTCGTCGAACAACTATATAAGCTCGTTGCCAAAGCAACTTACACTAAACTTGCAACTCAAGCATGAAACAGTTGGCACTACTCTTATTTCTGGCTTTTGCACTGGTAAATGGCGATGAGCCCACGGAAGACCAGTCGGAGCCAGAAAATATCATATCCAATGGGTATTCAGCCTACGAAGGCAAGGCTCCCTACATGGTCAGCCTGGTGTTAGGATCGGTCGCAAGCAGCGCAACCTCATTGTGCGGAGGTGCTATCATTGCAAATAATTGGGTATTAACAGCCGCACAATGCCTGACCCGAGATTTTGTGGAAATTCACTACGGTTCCTATACGAGGAGAGGCCAGTTCGCTCATCGAGTAGGAAAAGGAGATTTTTATGTGCAAGATAAATGGCCGAAAGAGAAGGGCTACGACATCGGCCTGATACGCACACCATATGTGGAGTTTACGTTCTGGGTCAACAAGGTTAATTTACCCAATTCCAATGTCGATATCTTTGACAACAAGTGGGCAGTTGCATGCGGCTGGGGTGAGCAGGCCAATGGCCAAGTTGCCAATTGGCTGCAATGCGTCGATCTTGAGATCATGGGCTCATCAACGTGCTCCAGATATTATGGCTCTGTGACTGAAAGTATGTTGTGTGCAAGGACACCAGAAGGCAAGTCTACCTGTGGCGGCGACACAGGCGGCCCATTGGTAACATACGACAATCACACTTTGGCTGGTGTGACTTCTTTCTTCTCGGCGGGAGGTTGTAGGGCCGGTCACCCAGCCGGATTCACTAATGTTGCCGCCCACTTGGATTGGATAAGTACAACAATAGGACTAACATCGGACAATCTTTACGAAACATACCCATATGGTCAATATCAATATGTATAATCAAAATAAACTAATCTGAAGCATTTAAAACTTACCGATGAAAGCCGCTGATGGGTAAACTGACATCCGGCAGAAATTCTGTAAGCGGTGCAAAGTAACCACCGTATTCGGGCATGGGTAATGGATGCGGATGCGCATTTGGCGGTGCTTCCGCTGTGTTACGCAACTCCACATTCTCCTCCTGCCGCAGCTCGGGATCGTTGATAAGTATATCCTCGGGCCGGGGCAGTATGGAGGGGCCCGAGGCAGCGCGAATTTTATCAGCGCCGCGAGGCGGGCGACTGACACCCGTAATGGGCGTCACAGCAGCCGCGGCTGCGGCGGCAGCTGCCTGAGTATAGGCGCGGATGCCGCTGTCCGACTTGCAGGTGCTAAAAGAAAAACAAGCTGTTGATTGAATATCTCAAATGATATTTAGGAAATCACGACTTGCCCTATTTTAATGGGATCCTCGCCGCTGTGTCGCTTCGTGTGTATGGTGCCCTTCTCCACGGTCAAATCCTGAGTGCGCGAATCATTAATGCCGCCTACAGCTTGTCCTGGCAAACAAAGAGGAAAGATTTTAGGCTAATGCAAAGCAGCCGTCACCATCGACTCACCATCGGCGCTGTGACTCGAAGCCTTTCGCATGCTGGTCAGCCTATAGAAGGGAGGCGTTTCAGTGCGTTCGATGAGGCAGTTAAGTGTCTCCACCGTCTGCAGCTCGGCCATTAGCTCATCGAGCAAGCGATCCGGACAGCTGCGCGCCAAATAGAGGGCCACGCGTTTAGCCTGCGACCACACAAGTTAAAGAATGCAAATAGCTACTTGAAACGTGGCTAAAATATATGGTACTTACGTAGGGCAACAACTCGGTGGGGGCCATGCCGCTCATGATGACCAAATAGCGTAGTATGACCTTCAGATTGTTCGGCCAGAACTGGCACAATGTGCCCCACAGCTCCTCAATATCGCGCGGATGTGCATCGGAAAACTGTTAACAAATAGCGAGGCAATCAAGAGAGTTATTCAAAGTATTTAATGGAAAGCCACGCAAACTCACCTTGGCTGTTATATAAAATAGATTATTCAGTATCATTTCGGTGGCCTCAGTTGAACCGGTGCCCTCACGGCGTCCACGCGTGCCAGAATCCGGAAAGTACTGCGAACAAAGCACACAAGTTGAACAAATTACAAATGCTCTAGACGAAAATGCACGTTTAAGAGATACCCTGAACATAGCGTCAAGCTACATTCTTGTTTTATTTACATTTATCTTCAAACTTTTGTAGTCGCTGAGATTGAAGCAGACAAACAGAGTAACGAACATGGCTAGGTAGACCTAGCTCGTTGTCTTGATCAAGAAAAAACTTGCTTTATACGCTCGGAGACCCTTCTTTCTGCCTGTTACAAAACTATTATACCCTATTAACCAGCTTTCAATGGGTTCAGGGTACAAGGAGTGTCTGCAGCTGCTAGAGTCCAGGAATTTCAGGTTACACCAAACAAAAATGTATTCAACTATGCAAACTATCTGCTAACAACTATAGAGTTGGGCTATGCCATGCTCACCATAATATAGGATAGCGGCGTGGCGGGTGGCACGCTGGTGGCTACCAGTTCCATGTTCTGCAACCAGGGCAACAGACACTGCAGCAACAAGGCGCGCACATCGTCACGTGCGCTCTGAAAACGATGCGTTATCTCTGTAAATGTGAAAATGATTGAAAGCTGTTCGAATTTCTGACAAGCACTAAGAATAACTCACCTGAAAATATGGGCATGGTAAGCTCGGGACGCAAGTGTGCCAATTGCTTTGAAAGGAAACGCTGCGAACGACAATAGGCGGTGCTCAGCAGCTCGTCCAGAGTGCCCACTTTGTCATCCTCTGAAAGGCAACAGAGACAAATGAAAGTTCAATAAATGTCAAGAGTACGTGAATATCATTTTATAATGAAGCAATAAAACAATACCAACCACAAATATTATTTGCGGACATGATTTGTGGTTGGCTGGCGCTGTTGAGTGCTTGGCAACAACTGAGGGCACAACTGAGTGCCGGATGTTGTGACCAACTTCCGCTTCACATTTCCATTGGGGCCAAAAAGCTTTTCTAAGCCGGCGCTGGAAGTTCTTTACATCTGTTTCTATTTACTACAAACTATGTCAGCAGAGAGACCAACAACGACAACAACAACAACAAGCACAAGTATTGACAAGAGCTGCCACCTCGTAGAACCCAGTCACATATCCCAAGGTTCAATTAAATATCTGAAGGAGCAGACACACTTGTTGCTTCCGCGCTTACCCTGACCTGGTCACCTGTTGATTCAATGAATGAAATGGCGTCATTTGGCAATGCGCCGACGCCAAGGGGCGGCAAAAAGCTCAGCGGTTGTTTTGGCGCCTTCCAATGGCGGCGAAACGGCATATCAAGTTGTTTAAAAAGCCGCCTCAGCCATTGTCTCGGCTTAGTTTCGCGCGCTATGTCCTACAGGCTGCAGGTTCTTGAGTGGCACAAACAAATGAAGAACTGAGGCACAAACATAAGCCCGCCGTCGGTAAAAATAAAAACGTAAAGCTCAACGACTCCAATTGAGCAATTAGTTGATCTAACATTTGAACAAGTTTTTTGGCACTGAGTTGAAAATAAAAAGCCAAAAATTAAACGAAAAAGTTGTGGTCCAAGTTTCATAAAAAACCAAAACTTTTGCTGTGCACTTGACCGATTTCGGTGCGTGTGAAAAAGTTTTGAACTAAAAGCAATCAGGAAATATATAAATAAAAATTGAAGAACAAATATGAAACCGAATAAGAAACGTGTGAAAAACTTTCATGAAATGGCTCTTTGATAATTGCCTAAAAGTTCATTTAAGTTGAAAATTAAAACGTATACTAAATGGGAAAAAAAAAAAAAACAATAAATAAATATAAAAACAACTTGACATATTACTGAGTTTCAAACTTTAACAAAACATAATAATTAAAAACTTTTGTAGACGAAAATAATAGTTTAAAAACTAATTCATCTAAAAACTTTGCACAAATATTTTACAGATAGTTTTTGGTTATTTATTTAATTCAAATCTGCAGTGAAGAAAAGTTTTTACCTGTGTTTGGACAGTTTATTAAATTAAGCAACTTTTTACTTTTGATTTATTTTAAGTACAACTGAAAGTTGCACCTAATTAGTTTTGATTTTCTTTTTTTTTTTATTCAGCCCTGTTGTTGCTGTATAACTTTCAGAATATTAAATACAAGCCCGGGGAATATTAGTGAAGAGAGATTTGTGCACTCAGTGAGGAAAGCAACAACAAAGCGGCAGCAATAAACAGGCCGCAGGCCAAATGTAGCAAGAGAATTGTCACGACACTTGCAGTGGCATTGACAACTGTGCGACAACCACAGGACAAACGCAATTATGGCTAATCCCTACGAACCGACCACAATGACAGCAATGTCAAACGCAAGCCAGGACATATCGGCAGCAACACCAACAACAGCGACAACAACGCTCAGTTATACCACAGATAGCAGCAGGAATAACAACAGCAGCGAATTGGAGTACATGTCCGTTGAGGACGAGGAAATGTTGCACATTGCATTCCTTATCAGCGATTTTGTGAACAGATACTATGTGCCCATCATCTGTTGCACGGGCAGCATCGGCAACATACTCTCCGTCTTTGTCTTCTTTATGACGAAGCTGCGCAAGTTGTCATCGAGCTTCTATTTGGCCGCATTGGCCATCAGCGATACCTGTTTCCTGTGCGGCTTATTCATGCAATGGCTGAATTTCCTCAATGTGAACATCTACAATCAGAACTACTTCTGTCAGTTCTTCACATTTATCAGCTATTTGGCCAGCTTCTGTTCTGTGTGGTTTGTGGTCGCCTTCACCGTGGAGCGTTTCATAGCAGTCATGTATCCGCTAAAGCGTCAAATAATGTGCACCGTTCGACGGGCCAAAATCGTCTTACTTGGCCTCACATTGGCCGGCTGTGTGCATTGTGTGCCCTACATATTGATTGCCAAGCCCGTCTACAGTCCCAAGCTGAATGATACCATCTGCGATCTGAACACCTCGTATAAGGTGAGTATGGGCATGAGTATACTATGTTAAATGACTACTAGGCGTATGTGTGATATCTCAGAGCTACTCTATGGCAGCATTCACACATCAAACATGAAAACCTTTTCTATTGCATGTTTGTAATTCCGAAACTGGTGTCTTTTTGGTCGGACTTTAAATGGGTTGCCAATAACAACCGGCTGTGAATAGTGGCAGGAATGTTACAAGCGAGAGGCCAACAAAAGGTTGCCACAAAAGCACAGACTATGCCACATCCTATTGTAAATTCTTCGAAATTCATTTTACGCATACATTTTTTGATAAAATGCTTGACATTGTTTTTTGATCCCATTCTCTATAGAATTTGTACGAATTCACACAATTCATAACTCAAGACGAAGTAAAATCAAATAAAAATGTCAAAAAAACACTTTACCTGGCGCTTGAAGCTTGAAAAGTGCAAATAGATGTTTGAATATTTGATATATTAATAAATTTAATTGTTCGGCAGTCAATCATATACAAATTTAAATAAAACATGATTTGTTTTTGGCACATACAATCTGTTACTGACATTAAAACATCAACAGTAGGAAATCTATGCCCCTAAGCTAGAGTCTGATTGTGTCAAATAAAATCTGTGACTGACATTAAAACAGGTACTGCATAGTTTAGGGGCATACATTTGCTTGCCAGTGGGCAGAGATATTTAATCTTAACACACGAGTAGATATTTCTGCTTCAACCTCACATGAGCAGACGGACAACATTCTCTTATCACTTTGCGAACGGGTATTAAAACCAATTTCAGAACACGCTTCAGTAAATAAACGTATTGCTTAGCACTCGTCAAATACTTCTCTATCCTTTTGCTTTGCATGCCAAGGATTTCCGCTCATTTTCTGCTGCTGATAAAATCCGTATCTCTAAACATGAACTTTAATATTAAAAAAAAATCGACTTGCCAGCAGACGTCTGGCTGTTAACTTGATAGCTGCTCGCTTGAATATGCAACCAACTAAAGCTGATTCGTTTGGCATAATGCGACGCTCTTAAAGTTGCCGCTGGTTAATGGAATTTGACTTTGCTGGTGGCCAATTAGCAAAATGAAAATATTAGGAAAAAAAAAATTATATCAATTGTTAACAAGCTAAGCCCAAAGCTAAATTCGTACAATTTTTGGCCACAAAAAAGGATAGACAATCCCTAGAACCAATAATAACATTGCGTAAACGCCGCCAATTAATCAAACGCGCAGTTTGTTCAGCCAACTGCTGAGTGAGTTAGGCGCAAATTGACAATTTATTAGGGCGAGCCAACAAATTAGAAGCCCAAATTTAACACAAAAAGCAGCAGCATGTCACAGCATACCAAAGGACTAGGCCAAAACAAAAAGTAGCTAACCACAAGAATGCCCTGCAAGCAGTTAGGTTAGCTTAATGATATGAAAGAATCGTAAAATTGCACGTTACAACAAACAAAGCTCGTGAAAATATATCCATAAAAAACTTCTAAGATTATATACTGCTTCTGCCTACAATCCATATATATAACTGTTTTATACCTCCTTTCATTTAATTCAATTAATTAATCGAAGACAAGCTCAGCCTAGAAAGCGGCCTACAAACACAAATATATCAAGAATTTACCACTTAGCATCATATTACACCTTGATATCAGGATTAGTTTACAAGCTACATCCCATCAAATCATATTCCCCGCTTACCCTTTCTGTTTATAGGGTATATAGTACCAGTGTGTTGTACAAAGACCGCAAGTAAAACTAAGGCAAACATTTTTTTTTTTGACCGCAACACAAAAGGACAAAACCAAACAGTTGCTAAAGAAGCACAGCCAAAACGTGCCCAGCCATCAAACATTGGTTATGGGCGTGTCCAATTGGTAGTCACACGGACAAAAAATTCCACACACAAAATGGAAAGGTCCTGACTGAAAATTTGCTTAGGTGTTCGTTAAATCTCGAATTTCTGTTTACATTGTGTTGACGCTCTATAACAATAACTGACAGTGGGTAGGGGAGGGGGAGCCTGAAATTCAATGCTAATTTCCAGACAGTGCAAGTCAAACAAGCAAAACAAAATGTCCAACCACCAAAAACAAATATTCCTCGAAAAGCGATCGCATCTATTAGCCAAATTGGGCACGGCGACAACTGAAGCGTTAAGTTTATAACAAAGCCGCGCCCATCAAGATGATAAAGTACCCATTTTTTGTTGTTGTTGTATATATTCAAGTACAATACGCACATCTGAGACATTTCAAATTCAATCAGTAACGAGAAAATACGAATGAGAGAGAGAAAAATAAAATAAAAACGGGGACGAGACAAACATTTGCTGCCGGCGAACACGTCGTATGAGCGATGCGGCCATATTTACCGTATCAACAAGCGAGAGGGGGGGGGGGGGGGCAAATGCTTTCGGGGTATTGCGCCTTGCCACATTGTTGCAACATCTCGAGGCTGGTCTGCGCTGTAGATCGATGGCTATGCGTGGGGTTTTCGGTATTGACGGCAAACAATATTGAAAATTGGATATATTTGTGGATGGGCGAAGTTAAATTTGGAAAATATGCAAAGCAACAGCGTTTTTTTTTATCTTGTATTTTCTTGGACTCGGTTGACATTGTGAGCGTGTTGAAAGGAGCTGCTAATGCTAAAGTATTTTGTACACAGAATCTGCAAATTGGCCGGAAAGTTAGCCATGTGCAAAGGCGACAGGCGTGGGCCAGACGTTCGTTAAATTGAATTAAATGTAATTGGTAATAAGTACATTAGAATGTCTAAAAATGCGGCCCCAGCAGATGGCCAATGAAATATGTTTAGGAACACTGGGAGGAAATTAACTGTCGTTAATTAAAAAGCTATATTTAAATCATGTCTGCAGAATAAAATAACTTTTGGCTTGGTTCACGGCTCGAAGATACAGTCCTTAGATTAGGGATATGATCAAATCTTTCTCTCGACTTCCTTTTCTAACTCTTTGATTCTTGTTACTTTTCAAATTCATGACCTCAGTTCTTGATCTTGATTAAAGCCTAAAACATGTTAACTAAGCAAAATCTTTAACATGTTTAGTCTATAAGCCAAAAAATACGGAAACTCCCATCAATCTATTTCGCTGACTCTATGGTTATGTTGATTATTATGCTTGCTACAGGCAACTGACAGCCCAATTGAAAACCAAATTATGTTTCCCAAAATTGTGTAGAACTAATAATACATGTATTTATTATATGTGATTAGTGCTTTTAAATCAATCAAGCTCCAGAAATCCACAGCTGACATTCATATGGCTGCTTAGCAGCTTATTACGGACTGAGTAGATTTTGATTAAAATTGCGGCCAGTCAATGTCGGCACGCACTTTGCTGGCAGCTTTCCCAGAGGCAGCAGCTGCTGGTCAATTACATCTTTAATATAATGTATGTGGTAACTATATATACACAAGTGTGTCTTAAAGCTGTGCCAAAGCATGCCCCTAGTTGCTGCCACAGGCAAGTCTGTCAGCGTTGCACAGCACAACTTAACATCTTGAGCAGTTTCTGCAGAAGCTCTCGATTCGAAATGCCAAGTTTATAATCGAGCTGGGCAAATTGGCGCCTTCCAAAGGCTGCTAAGCTAGCACTTCCTGCAACTAGGACCCGTAATCGAATATGCTTAATATGATTGCAACAGACTTAAACTGTGTGCCACAACATACGTTACAGCAACAAAAGCAACAACAACAACAACAACAGCAACCACATGCAGTTCATTGAAAATGTATGAGCTATTAAGCTTTGATCAACTCGACACGCGGCCCAAATGTAATCATACAACAAAAATGTTGATAAATAAGAAAGAAAAATAAAATTGAATTTATCCGTAAATGGGCTCAAATTGTAAAAGGGGCCAATCAAATTGCTTTAATTGATTGCATAGTAGAGGAAGGGTTAAGCCAAACTTCCCCCACAGTACCCTAGGCTTTTTTATGTAGAGCCGAATTACTTTGAATCGTATCCCTAATCTCACCTTTGTCAATTAACCCTTTGGCTATATTTTAGCGCCGTTTTAATTGCTTAATTCAACAACAAGATACAATTGAATCTCATTTAGTTTGCTTCTGTTTTCGCATTATATCGAATGCTAATTAAAAAATTCTTATTTTTTGCAAATATCTTTGCACATTTATGCCGCGAATGGCATTCGTTTCAGAATTTAATTAGCATCTGAATATTGATCTAGAAATGTTCTGTAAGCGGATATTAAATAACAAATTTGCATTTCTGTGGCTGGCATTTAAATTCACAGCGGCGGCAGCAGCAGGTGTGCAGAAAATTAATAAATTTATTTAATTATCTTTATATTTTTTCGTGCTATGTTTATAGTGGTTTTGGCTTTTTTTCTATAGAGACCTATTAAATTGCATGCGAGCTGCTTTCGCTGGAAATATTAATATTTTCCATAGAGTCAAGGCTTAATATTTTCCGTTAAATAATCTCGAATATCAGGAATAGCAACAAGAAACGTATGTAATGAAAATCCACAGCAACAATTGAAATTTTCCAAGAAAAGGGTAATCCAAGCGCCGACGGAACTATAAAATCAAAAAATACAGGTACCAAAAATAGCTTTATGCTCGGATTAATAGTTTCCGACTAGGAAAATTGCCAGAGCTGTTGCTGTAGAAAGAAAAGCAACAGATAAATATTCTTTCAATAAAGTGGAATATACTGCTATGGAGTTCATTTAAATAACAATTCTTGTACAAGCTTCTTTACATTGATAGTTAACTCCAGCTGGGCCTCTGTGCCTTGCTAAATATATTTTTCCAATTCTTTTGTAATTTCTCTTTCGGTGAGTTATCTTGTTATCAAATGCTTTCTAGCGAAAACTTTCAAACCTATTAAAAAAACGATTTTTTAAAGTTTTTTTTAAGCCAAGCACGAGCTGGCGCAGCGAGTTTTTGCACGGACCAAACGTTGTTAACTCTTCTTGGAAATTCGCAAGCGAAATTTTAAACGAATGTTTTGTGCGCTGTTCAATCGGAAAAAAAGAAAGCGATCCCTTTTATTTTGTTAGCTGCACTTTCGTTCTGTTTTTTTTTTTTTTTTATATTATCTTATATCAAGAATAATTCAATTTGTCTGTAGTTTCGCACAAAGTAAATTACGCATACGATGCGTTGCCAGCTGCTGTTTGTAATTGGATTAAAAGGCAAACAAAATCAATTTCAGGCAAATTTCTAAATTTGTTTATTTTTATTTGCAGGAGCAATTGGCTCTTTTCAACTACTGGGACTCGATTGTTGTCTATGCGGTTCCCTTTACAACCATTACAGTGCTGAATACCTGCACCGGCTGCACCGTTTGGAAATTTGCAACTGTTCGACGCACACTGACAATGCATAAGATGTGAGTAGATATTGTGAAAAATGAATAGTAAATTTCCCAGTGGAAATTCAGTTGCAGCGTGCAGCTAGCTTTGTGTATTGTACAATGTTGATTTGTTGCTGGCATAATTTCTGATTTGGCCAATGTGATTGCAATGCACGCTGCGTTTTATATTTATGAGGGCAATCTTCATCTAATCAAGTACGAATGCGCTTTGTTGTATTCATGCAGGAAGCCACAGATAACTAACGTACCAGCAAATGCAACAACTGGCGGTGGGGTGGCAGCTGCCACTTATCGCATTTCAGCATCGCTGAGGCGTCAAAAGTCAACTGGCACACACCCAAGCGGACAGCACAGTGTGTCAAGGCAAACCGAGCAACAACAGCAACAACAACAACATCGACACGATGCCAGGTCTCAACACCATTGCGAAATAACACAGAAAACGGGTAAGACACCAAAGATGCAGTTAGTTGTAGCCACTTGACAGGACATAATGCTCATTTAAACTAAATGACAGCCAGACACACACTTGCCACACACACACTTGCCACATACACACACACACTCGCACAGCCAGGTTGGCAACTTTCCCTTAAGCCATTAGCTGCCAACTTTGGCGCGCACAAAAGCTCAACAATTAGCCACCTGCAACATATGACAACGTGCAAAGCAGCGTGAAAATGCAAACTACTTAAGAGTTACTTTCAGCACGCAATGTAAACTTTTTTTATAGTCAACTTAAATAATTTCAAAGCTAATTGCGCACGTTCTACATAAAATATATATACGCTCCTTTCGTCTGTCTCTTACACGCCCAACTTGTTTATTATGCAGGACGCCGCAAGGTGCAAAACTCGTCGCAATTGAAGGTGACCAAAATGCTGCTCATTGTCTCCACGGTTTTTGTCTGCCTGAATTTACCGAGCTGCTTGCTGCGCATCGAAACCTATTGGGAGGTAAGTGCCTAATAATTTCACACGATATGAACAAGTAATACGAACTAAACACGGGACTGTCAGACGAGATTTTTGACAATGTATAGAAATATGTTAAATTATTTTCATTTTTATTTTAATCTTTAACTATATAAATGAAACTCTTTGTCCTGACTGACTAAATGATAGATAATCAACGCACAGTCCAAGCTGTAAGAGCTAGAATTAGGTGACTTTTTCACTCAAGAAATCATGAGGATTCCACTCGAAAGTGTGGAATGTATCCCACCAATAGCTGAACACGATTGTATGAATCTGTTTTGTATCTCAACCGTTCGGCTTTTAACTCCATTCCCAACATCTCTGTAAAATATTCTTTCATATGTAAAATCCCAATAATGCAAATAAAAACAACTTGAATAACTAAAAATTGCCCGTGCAAAGCCGGGTAATACACACTAGTACGTTATGGATAGCATTGGTTTTGACCAGCGTCAAATCCAATTACCGTTGTCGTTGAGAAAAACATGACCCAAACTCTAATTAATGCAAAAACTTTGCAAATTTCCAAACAGAAAGCATATGCAAAGGCACATAAATTGCGCATACGCCGCATGAGCTGCTCGAAAACTGTGTCCATTTGTGGTGAGAATGATAACAACAACAGAAATCAGCACTACACGTGTTGCCCTTAATAATTAATTAAAATTTACCAAGAATTAGGCAAACAGCGGGTCAGTTGGTCAAAGCTCAAGTAAATATAAATAACACAATCCCAGCATGTTGTCGTACAGTTCATGTAACTGCAGCAGAATAAAGAAAGTTTTATTATTGCGCCAGCAGCAGCAACTAATTAACAATGTCCATATCTGAGCTGCGAACAGAAAGGAGCCCCCGCACAAGATTAAATACAGACACTATTTATAGCGAGGACGAGAATATCTTGACGCAAATACAGCAAAGCATATTAATGCATGCCTCGCAGTGGGTCGGTATCCGTAAATATCTGGATAATTAGCGCCTCATTATATTCCAGTGTGAGAAAAAAAGAATTGAATGGATTTTAGTAAGTAATTGCCAAATCACAAAACGGTCAAACATACAGAAAGAAAAAAAACATTATAAGGAAACATATTAAAGAAGCACTGGCGGATATAATATCCTGGTTAGACAGACTTAGCTCGTTACTTTGATTGGGCTAAACATCTCGGCATCTTCACGCTTGATGTCAAATCCGAGTGAGGGCTTGAGTGAGTGCTTAAGTTGCTTTAAACAAATTATTTTATATATCCTGGCATGCTAGATATGGCATCGTCGCTTTAGCTACGCACATGTATATGTATAACATGCCAGGCAAAGCTTTGGCTTTGAAACATTGAGTGGGGGCTGCTGTGCGTGGATGCTTTTGCCATATAATTAAGATTTAATTAGTTTGTGTACTTTTGACACCGTTGAATCGTAAAAAACGGAACTGAAATAAACAAAAAAAAATATTAAAAAAAAACTCTTTACGACACTTTACAGGATTTAATTACATAAGTATCCTTTTAATGGGTTACTGCGATATCAACTACACACACACACACACAGAGAGACCATGTTCTCATAGTACATCATGTGCCCAGGAAAAGGATTTGCCGATAATTTTTTAAAGTTTCCGTTTTTGGCGGCGCATAAATCACACTTAAATACGCTTGAATAAACTCAGAGATTGTAAAAAAACTTATTTTATGGTCCGTATTCCCAGTTTCACAAACATGGCGTGTCAAAACTTTTGTGGCTTTCCATTTTTCATATGGTTTTCCGTTTGGTATGCGCATGTCAGAGGTTCGAAAGCTGATAGAATGAATGAATAGCAAATTGTTTGAACATGCGGCTGGCATTGAACATTGATTGCGACATGAAATTAATTGAGCGGAAGGGTTTTTGGCAGGGCAGCCGATTGGAAATGTCGAATAGGCTCAACAGGTTACCAAAACACGTTTATGGCCAACACATGCTACACGGTCTAATGAGAAAGAAAGAAAATCCTTCTACCAAGAAAAAGTTATTAAGGTCTTAAGGAAACTGCTTATCACAATCACAAGTAGTTGCATAAATTGTATAAACGCAAGCTTTAAGACAATTAAATCAAAAAGATATATATATCTAAAATTCTATTAACAAGCATATATTTATTCTACCCAGACTCAAACTTCCAAAACGCAGAATACAACAATTGTTTTGCAGTACATTTTCAATGCGTTCTTCATAACAAATTTTGGCATCAATTTTGTGCTATATTGCGTGAGCGGACAAAATTTTCGGTAAGTAGTCAAAGCATGTGTAAGTTCCTTACAATATATCATTGAAAATTATATAATTCATCATCTTAATTTTGAAAAGCTCTTTACTGTAATTATCTTTTCTTATATATGCATTACAGCAAAGCTGTGCTCAGCATTTTCCGGCGCGTCTCTTCGGCCCAACGGGAAGGCATCACTCAAGTGACAGGTAAGTGAACGGGGCAAATAATTAAGCCATTGCCCAAGCGACTCGACTGACTATATTCAAAGAAATGAACATTTTATTACGAAAATAAGAACATAATTAACTTGAAATGCCGAAAGAGCTGCAGGGGGCAGACACAACAACATAAATTAGAAAACAAATTTTAAACACAAACATTGCTTGAGTGACATACAGGTTGCTCGCAGCTATATATATGCATGTGTGTATATTTTATCGCCATATCCTGTTTAATTTACTTTAAAATTAAAGAATTGCTTTAAACAATTAACGAATTTATAGAATCTGAGTAGAAAAGGGCCAATAAGCAGTATAAGTAAAAGTAGTAGAATAAAAACTAGTTAAGGAATAAGAAGTGGCAGTAAAAGTAGCAGTGGTATAAATAATGGTATGCATAGTTGTAGTAGTAGCAGCAGCAGTTGATATAGTATATAATAGTAGTAATGGTGGTATTTGTAGAAGTAGAAATATAATTATAAGTAGAAGTAGTAGAAGTTGAAGTAGAAATAGAAGCAGATGTGGAAGCAGAAATAGAAGTAGAAGTAGGGGTAGAAGTAGAAGTAGAACTACTTCTACTACTTCTATAATACTTCTACTACGTATTATAGAAGTAGTAGAAGTAGAAGAAGAAGTAGTTGAAGTATAAACAGAAGCAGATGTGGAAGCAGAAGTAGAAGTAGAAGTAGGGGTAGAAGTAGAAGTAGAACTACTTCTACTACTTCTATAATACTTCTACTACGTATTATAGAAGTAGAAGTAGAACTACTTCTACTACTTCTATAATACTTCTACTACGTATTATAGAAGTAGAAGTAGTAGTATTAGAAGTAGGAGTAGAAGTAGAAGTAGAAGTAGAAGTAGAAGTAGAAGTAGAAGTAGAAGTAGAAGTAGAAGTAGAAGTAGAAGTAGAAGTAGAAGTAGAAGTAGAAGTAGAAGTAGAAGTAGCAGTAGAAGTAGAAGTAGAAGTAGAAGTAGAAGTAGAAGTAGAAGTAGAAGTAGAAGTAGAAGTAGAAGTAGAAGTAGAAGTAGAAGTAGAAGTAGAAGTAGAAGTAGAAGTAGAAGTAGAAGTAGAAGTAGAAGTAGAAGTAGAAGTAGAAGTAGAAGTAGAAGTAGAAGTAGAAGTAGAAGTAGAAGAAGAAGTAGAAGTAGAAGTAGTATAAGTTTTAGAAGTAAAAGTAGAAGTGGAAGTGGAAGTCTAAATATAAGTAGAAGAAGTAGAAGTAGTTTTCACAGAAGAAGTAGAAGTAGTAGAAGATGAAGAGAAGTAATAGTAGAAGAAGAAGTAGAAACAGCTGAAGTGGAAGTGGAAGTAGTAGTAGTAAAAGTATTAGTAGTAGTAGTAGTAGTAGTAGTAGTAGTAGTAGTAGTAGTAGTAGTAGTAGTCGTAGTAGTAGTAGTAGTAGTAGTAGTAGTAGTAGTCGTAGTCGTAGTCGTAGTAGTAGTAGTAGTAGGAGTAGAAGTAATAATAATTGCAGACGTATTAGTAATACCAGTAAAAAAGTAGAAAAAGCAGTTAAAGTAGAAAAATTCATTAAAAAAAACAAATAAAAATGAAAACTAATATAAATAAAACAGATTTCAATGCTTCACACAGAGAAGGAGTTACAAAAAATCTTTTTTTTCCATTTCATTCTCTTTTTGCCTCTGATCTCTAACATGCAAAAGACTCTGAAAGTAGAGTATAGTTAGCTTAGAGCCGCAACAAATCTTACATTTTACAGCCCTTTGCTCTTTAAACAAGATAATCAATTATTAAGAAAAACACAAAATGTTAAACGTATTAAGTCAAAAGTACTGCACATTGCCAAAGGCAATGTTGTTGCTCTGAGAATATTTGCAAGTTTTGTACGCAGTCAATCAGACGTAAGACAAACAAAAAACTGACGAGCGCTATATATTTATTAAAACAACAAATACCAATCTATCGCTAGAGATATTTGTGCGCATTTTAAAGATTTAACTTAAGAGGCCACCGCAAATGGGCGTAATTCAATGTACTTTTTACGATTTCGTGGCATCTTTTCAAGTTGCATAATTGATGAATGCCTAAATTGGCGGCGCTTCAAATTGTAGTTGCAAGTCGTAAAAATACAGGCACCTATAAAGATTATTCGATTAAAAATGTATATTTTAATTTGGCAATAAATCCGAACTGTCGAGGCTATGAAAAAGTCAAATGTGAAGCATTTGGCAGGATATGAAGCTAAATGCAACTGCGCAGAAAAATTGTTGAATCTAAATCAAATTAAATCAAATGCTAAAACCTGACGATGGCAACAGCAGCAGCCACAACAATAACAACAACAACAACCATAACAACGAGTCATGCTGCCAAGGTTAAAAGGATCAAAACATTCAAAAGGTTTTGTGTGTTGCATACAAATATTGACAGCCCATCCCTATGCCAGAGGTGTGACAAGGCAAGGCAACAGACAACAGCCAACTGTTGGGGGCGGGGTCTCGGAACCGTTGGTTACATCAAATAAAATTAACGTTGCCATTGACACAGCCAACACAATTATTAAAAAATTGTGCTGCTACTCCGGCTTGTGTTTTTTTTTCTCGCAATAGTAAGGATTGCTTTTTATATAGACATGCATATGTCTCGTGGCTCACAAACTCGGAAGCTGCAGAGAGCTGGTTAAGGATTACTGTCCAGCTACTGCCATAAAGCTTACTGTACGGACGCTTTTAGTTCGTTAGTCCGTCAACAACTGTTCAAACAGTGACCAACGGTTCGCCTTATGTACTGCAGGATTTAAGCAAGACTGATATTTACTGTAGCTGCCCAATGGCAAATTATAGCACAAATATTGAATTAGAATTTTACAGGATCCCCTAAACAAATTCTGAACGGATTTTTTTTTTTTTTGAATAAATCGCGGTTGGTAAAAGCAATGGAAGCAAATGCAATCAGATTAGTTGGGATTTGATTGAAAGCAATCTCGTGCTCAAAGTCTTGTTAATAGGTTTAAGAGGAGCCGCCTTTGAAATCCATTGTATCTGAATTCAAAGTAAGTTTTTAGGGAGATAATTTACAAGAGGTGGAATTTCCAGCTAATGAAACTTTAAAAAGCTGATGCTTAGATTTTATAAAATGTTATAAATATATACTCTTGGGCGGTATAAACAGCTTACGCGGCAGAATTTATACAAGCTAGTCTGTTAGTTTTTATGTCAAACAATGTTAATAAATAACCAAATATTATTAATAGAAAACAGGTGATTACTGCTCTAAGCTGTGAGAGATGTTAGCTACAATGCGATATTTTTAAACAAAAAACGTACTGGTTTGAGCATAGTTTTGCAAGCGCTGTTAAATGTGAAACATAAGATTGCCTTCCCTAATACCATCCCTGAAATAGAAAACCCTTCATTGGTAATAATACATAGACCGTGCTGCTAGCAGGAGACCAAAACACAGCAGGAAGTCGAAGATAAAACATTATAAAACATAAAACATAACTAAATACTAAATAACTGAACTACACAAAATATCGTAAATGTACAAACAAGATAATTTCCCAAACGAAAACACTTCTTACGCAAGTATCGCATAGAGCAAAGGCCAAGCCTCTAATTAAAGCTACTGCCAGGCCAGCGCATCAAATCTCGTAATTGAATGAACTCATTAACAGATTTTAGGCTTACGATGGCAAAAGACATTGCAATAGGGCGACAGTTTTGCTAAACGGCTAAAACAAAAGCATTCAGATAACGCACTTATTGCATAATTTTCCTTTGAACTCAATAACGTAACTCGGCAGTTATAATTTCAATTCAGTTTGCGTACAGCTCAAATTTCACAAGCATCCCGAATTTTTCGTAGGGTTTTAATTTTCTCAGCACAAAAGCGCGCGCGTGGTAGCCAATTTAATGAGTGTTTGCTTCGCAAATTTCAACCGGGCAGCAGTAGTTAATCACGACTTTGATTGGCTAAAGCAATCGCCATAGTTTCATGCGCACGCACACACACGCACACGCACACAGAGGCAGACAAACATCACACACACTCTTTGTTAAATGCGTATTGCTCATACGCCCTGCGTTACCGTTACGTGCGCTGCATACAATGTACGCGCTCACGGGCACTCAAACAGTGCCCCGCTCATTACGGTTTTTTGTCTATTGGTCCCTATTGAATATTGCGAACGCCCCGAGAGCACTCTACGTACGCGCATCCTGGCGGCAGTATGCTGCCTGCCACGTCAATCACAGCAACACCCTCGAGGCTTCCCGGCTGCTTAGCTATTAAAGCTGACAAACAAAAATAACATAAAGATATATGCTATATCTATATATACATATATAGCTGTGCTTATAAATTAAGCTTAGACCAATTGTGGGCGTGGCACGTATGCCGCACATTTCCATTAGCACACAGATATGAATGCCCTCTGACTTTTGAGTGTTTGACTTTTATGTGATAGCCAGGCCATATAATGGCCTTTGTTATTTGGCCATATAATTTAGTTAATAATTCACCCGGGACCACACAATAAGCCAACGACGCATCAAGGACAATCAAATGGAAGCGTCATCATTAATCTTGTACACAAATATATAAATAGAAAGTTTGCCAAAAGGTTTGAAGGCCAAGTGCCCATTTGCTCATTTATGATAATCAAATTCGCAATTGCACAAAAACTCCGACTAAAACTGACTTAAACATCGCAGACACTTTCTAATTAACTTTATAATAAATTCATTTAAGACAGGCAGCAGCTGGCGACGCTTTAAGAACCCCTTTCTCGAAATTTATCATGCGACATTATTTGCTGGTGACAATTTTCATTTTTAGTACGGCTTTTGTTTTTGACATCAGAAGCACGCGCCTAAAAGTCTTTGCATAAGAAATTCATTTTGCTGGCTAAAAAATGTGAAAATTTATATTCACATATATATTTAAAAAATAAAACGCCCAGCTCAATATTTCGCAGTTGTTTACCAACTTCAGTGAATGTGTGTGTGTGTGTGTGTGTTTGGGAGGTGTGTATGTGTCTGTTGGCTAGCGTGTGCATGATTGATTGGCAGAGATTGTCTAGAAATACAATATGCCCAAATAAAAATATTGACAGCCGACGGCCGATAAAATATTACGCTCAATAAGAGACAATCAAATATTTTCAAATTAGCTTAAAAATTGTATAATTTATTAAAAAGTTATGATGGCAAAAATATTTTACACAAAGAAAATTCATTTGCAAGTCGCTTAGTTTGAAGCAAAATGCCTTCAGCCGTTAAATATTTATCGAAAATGAATTGATAATTAATTACAATTCAATCTTCAAATATTTGTGTAAATTTGTATGTTTATAAAGCAATTTTTAGGTTAAGTGACAAAGTTAAGCCCACGCCCAAATGTATGCTACATTTTAAAGGAGCTTAACTGCATTTAATTGAGGCTCGGCCCAAAATTGACCAAAATTAGTGGCTCGACTTCTGCGCTGTGCTGATAGGGTCACAAATCCCCAGTAAGGGTCACATGAGCAAAAGCAATAGCAACAAAAAAAAAATGTACAAATTATGACCCGCTTTCGCAGCTAATGCAAATACAAATCTAAATTGAAATCGCAACTGTCGAGCACGCAAATAACGACCAGAAAATAAAAGAAATACAAATAAAGGTCAAAAGCTGGTTAAGGGCTGAACCGAAAGGGCAAGTACACATAAACTAACGGCATGAAGAATGCAAGGTATAAAATATTTGGTCTACAGATAATTGAATAATAACTAAATTCATTTAAAAAAAAAGAGAGAAAAACCAGGTAAATTGAATTTACATAGAAAGTACTAAAGCGAAATGCTGGCTGGGTTTAAGTTATGTCTTGTATAGCTAAAATTACATAATATTTTGCTGGAATGCTTATGAGAAACAGAGCTCAATTTATTTTGATTGAAATATTTGTGAATGAAACCAACATAGTTAAAATGTTATGATACCCCACAACTACGTACAAACAGCACCCGTTCAATCACACACACATACACTCGGCTTATATTACGTCGATACGTCAATAATATTTTAAACAGCGCTTGAGCGGCAACAACGGCGCCTCCACTTAATGAGTTTTTGCCTCAAAGCACAATCATTTATAAACTCCTCAATATTTGCCACTCTTTCCCAACTGTTTTTCCGCACTTCTTCACACGCATTTCACTACTTGTTCTTGTTCTTGTTTCTCTCCATAGTATCCGAGTATTGCCGCAACACGGGCACCTCGACTAGGCGCCGCATGATGACGCAGCATTGCTGGAATGAAATGCACGAGCTGCATCCACTAAGGTAAAGGAAAATTGGCGTGAAAATTACATTCGGCGCAAATAAAAACAAAATGGTGTACACTTAGGAATTCCATTTTTTTTTAATTATACGGATTGCAAAAAAATAAAAATGGCAAAAAGAAATCCAATATCGTATTTCAGTAAGTTAAAAGAAGAAGAATTGTTTGTGATGTTCAAGTCGAAGTAGGTATAAAAAATGTTTAAAAGGCGAAGTGAGCAAAACGAAAGCTGACTCAGCTAAAAAAAAATAATTAAACAAAAGCCAAAAAAAGTACTTTAAACGCTGACAAAAAAAGAAAACAATATATTTGTTAATGTCTTAATCAACACACTAAACCGAATTTTCTCCCACACTTGCAAAGAAGTTGTCAGCTTTATACAGACAAAATAAACGTATTTTTAAAAATGTTGTGTAAATGAAATTTTAATTATGCTTAAATAATGCTTAATGCTTGATCGCGCTAATTCAGTTGAATTATCATAAATTGAAAATGAATTGCATTAGTCGACCGCATGTACTTGTTAAATGTTAAACACTAACGGAAATTATTGTAAATCCAACTATGTAATAAATGTAATAATAAATATTCATTATGTTCACTGAATGCTCTCTAATTGATTTTGCAAAACTTTCGCTTTTCCGTAGAATTGAAGGCGAAACTTTAAACGATTTCGGACGCAACAAGCAAATATCTCAATCGAATTATCTAATCATAATCGAGTTCTTCAATTATATAAATGCATTTGGGAATATCTTCTACAAACTTAATTACGCATTAAATATATTTTGTTTATTTATTTAATAAGATAAATTAACCAAACTGTTTATGCCATGCTACGCTCGTCTTAGCTGGTCAAAAGGGCTTAGCTACCTGGACCATTTGGTCAATGGCCCTCAATGGTCCGGGAGTCATAACAATAACAAAAGTTAAGCTGCTTAGTACACAGCACAAAAAGGTCAGTAAATAGCTTGTGCAATGCAGGAGCTGGCTTATAAGCCACAACGCTACAAATTGGCCAACTTTAACGGTAAACTTTCTGACTAAAAAATATCAAAAAAAAAATGCGGAAAAAAAACAAGCGAAATATACAACTTATACATATTTAAATTTCCGGAACAAATTGTGGAAAATTGGGGGGCGGAAGCCACGTGCAGCGTCACGTTTACAAATTGCCGCTAATTATCCTGGCGAATAAACGTTTATTTCCTTAAATCTGTTCTGTCCTATGTGCATATAAATTAAAATGCATTTTATTTATGTGTTTTATATTAACTTATTATTTTTATACCCTATGCCAATTGCAAATGCACAGAAGTGGGTATAATGATTCTTGCTAAAACTAATACAAGCATGATGACATAAAGTACATATAATCTTGATCAAGACAACTGAGTCAATCTGGAGATATACGACTATGGCTCAAGAGACTTTGTTTAAATTTTGAATATAGCTTGTCGAACATCAGACGTAGAATCCATATTTTACAATAAGTCCTTGTAGTTTCTCATATCGAATCTCAGCCTCAGATGTTCTTAAACAAAAATTATACATAGGTTATTAAAGAATAAATTTTGTATAGTGTAGAACTGAGGCAAGACGAAGCACAGAAGCAGACCGAAGAGTGCAACTTGTGGCGAGTTATTGATTAGGCCCGGCTACAGGGTATCCCGTAGTTGGGTCTCGAGTGGCGCACTGTTGTGTGTCTTCATTTTTTTTAAATTTCGTTCGCTGCGAGTGTTGGCCAACAATTTCACCAGAATGTTAACATTAATGGCCCAGCGAGCATTGTGCATAACAAATTGCCGTAAAATTATGCAGAGCCAGAAATTCCCCCGCGCTTACGCAGAAAATTAAATTCAATTCAATCAAATCGGCACAGACACACAATACACACACATAAACAGGCACAGCCAGATACAAACACACACGCACACACGCACACACACACACACATACACCCCAAAATAAGTGAAGCAGATAATTTTATGTACGCTCGGAATTCACTTGAAAGCTGCTTATATAATGAAATAACATTCTTCAATAGCTCCCAACATAAGAAGACCAACAATTACTAGAAAAGTAAACCAAATGTGTTACATCAATTGAATATAAAAATTATAAGCTACGACTACACATGCTATAGAAAACTATTGATAAAATGAAAATATGTTTGCAAATGCTATGCAAGCTCTGGAAACTGAGCATATAAATGAAATAAATTAGAAGTTTTGAGAATTATTCAAATGAATACAAAGACAAAGACAATCTCACAAGTGTGCGACTAGGAGATGCCCTATGTTGACTTTTAAAGTTAGGTATATGCTTTGAAGAACGGACGAATAGTTATAGTTTCTTTAAACGTAATTCCATAGGCAACACCTGCTTCTATCTTATAGATACAAAAACAATATTAACTTTAAGCAAGGGTTAAATAATTCATTTTAAATTAATTCGCCCTATCAACGAATATTTTTATTTGTCTTAAACATGCATATATCATATAAACTACAAGCCCAACTCTTTCTTATAGTCTCTAAATTCGCCCAACTTGTCTATAGTTGATAATCGCCTATATATATGTATATATATACATCATTCGAATGCGGCGAGAACTCCATCTTCGTCTTACATTATTTTACACAAGTTGAATATGCAAATTTTTATAACTCTTAAAGTCACACTTAGATACAGTCTGAACTAATAATCAAAAGGTTTCTTTTAGACTCATTTACTTGTTAACTTTAGAGTATAAAGTAAATTGGTAATTACAGAGTATAGCGTAGTCGTGACTTCAACGGTCTTTTAAGATTTTTGTTTTAGATGCACAGCATAAAAGTTATAAATGCGTTCGCAATGCGCAACTGAAAATTCTTACGCATGAGCAAAACTTTAAAGAGAATAATCAACAAATTTAAGATCCAAGAATTATAAGGAATTACACAACTTTCCGACCTAACAATTCTGTGCAATTTTTTGCGGCAGACATGCAAATTTATCGATTAAATATTAATCGCTTGCATTTTATATATATATAAAGTTTCTTTTGAGTTAAAGCGCTTCTTTTAAGAGCTTAAAAATACAGACGAGTCTTTAAAACTTGACTGAAAGGCGTTTAAATTTGTATACCCATTAAAGTTTATTAAGCTTGTCTTGAATGTCGGGTTAGTTATGGTGGATAGATCATACCTTTCTCGTTGTCGCTGTGCAGGGTGCCAACGACGCTGCCAAAGAAACGCTTGTCCAGTATTTGCAACAGCTGCAGCGCGGTTGCATGCACCTCCACCCGGGGGCAGCCAGTCATCAGCAGCGTCACGGTTATAACAGATGTATAATGGTCGCACGGATACTCCCTGAAAGAGCGGGAAAGAAGCAAAAAGATGAAAAGAAAAACACGCCGGGCTAATGGATTTTAGGCACTTAGGTACTTTGCTTAAGATATTTTGCACACGCTTAAGTAAAAAGTTAACAGAGTTGCGGTTATGCGGTTAGGGATTTGTTTCATCTAAGCTCACGAAGTGCTCATAAGTGGATTAAAGAGCCCAACGCAATGCCAGTCAAATTAACAGTCAGCCAATTAAAGTTCAATCACATGGCCCACGCCTGCTCATACGGTTCTAATGCACACTGACACGGACCAAACACCTGTCAGCTAACAAAGACCCATTACCAGAGTCCCGCCAAAGCCGGATCTTATGCAAATTTCCTGGAAATCGATTATCAATTTGCATACCAAATGCAAACGCAGCAAAGTATGCTACAGATTTTGCCTTTCTGTCCTGCCTAACAACTTTCACGAATTAATTCTCGCTAAAATTGGCTACAGTCATGACTTGCTAAAAAAAATACAGCAAAAAAAATGTAACAAATTTAAATAAATTTTTAAATTAATCTAGGCAAAAATCCAAGCATTTGCTATGAACTTTGACAGTAAAAAAACTAAATATTTCATAACTTAAATGAACAAATTTTTATCAAAAGCACAAAGTTAAATAGTTAAGACCCAAATGGAAATCGTTTCAGCAAGAACAGCATTTCGGAAGTTCTCTAGTCTATATTTTAAACTACCTAATTTGAAGTACATATTCAAGTAGGACCAAAATGGTATTTCTTATCGAAATTGGTTCAGTTTTGTTTGCTCCAACACATGCAATAACATTTTCGCAACGCTTTTAGCCATGCATTAGATACAATTGCAAACAGATTGGCACTTTCATGTGGCTAGTCGTTAGCTCTGCCATGTGTGTGTGTGTGTGTGTGTGTGTGTGTGTGGACGGCACTGCACTTTATAATTTGTTTTGGCACACGTCCATAAAAAATGTACGTACTGAGTGTCAATTTGTTGGTATTTTGCGGCTAATTGGAACTGATTTAGCTGTTATGCAAAGCGAGCGAACAAATTTCAATGTGGTTGCCGGAAATTTTGGTAAGGATTTACTGAAAAAAAACTAACCCCGTCTGCCAAATGCCACACTGGCCACAGACGCCAGCAATTAAGCAATCAATCAACATTCGGCTGCAGGCTTTTGTGTGTGTGTGTGTGTGTGCGCGTATCTGTGTTTGGGATAGACAAACAGTATGTGCAAAAGTCTGATAAAAAACCGCAGACAATATGTTGTTTAGAAGCGATTTAATGTTTAGAAACATTAAAGACTCTAAATGGAGCTTAAGTAAATTCAAATGAAGTATTAAAAACGGCAAATTGTAGCGAAGCACGAAAACGAATTTATTTGTATATGGCAACAGCACGCAAAGGCTGTATCACATACAACGGATGTATACAAATGAATATCATAAATCAGCGCAAAAAATTGCAACATGCAGCATGCAGCACATGCCACAAATAAGCGCAAAAAACACACACACAAAGTGGCCCACGCAAATGGTCATGATTAAAAAAAAAGAAGGATTATAAGCGTTTTTTGTGCGTTTTGGAAAACTTTAAAGGTTTTAGGTACTTGCCGGACATAGTTTATTTAAAATTATGTGTTCATATTTATGAATAATTTATAAATCAAGTTATATGATTTATGAAAGAAATTTAAAGGCATCGGTTATAATTTGTAATGAAATTGAAGGAATAACATGACAAAAGGTCACACAATATTTATATATTAAACATATTTAGCATAACACAAGCTATTGTATTCAAGAACTTTTTGATAAAAAACATATAAGCATAACTTAAGCTATTGTATTCGAGAACTTCTAGATTAAAAAACATATTCCAATTAATTCAAGCAAATAATATTGCGAAACTTCTATAGAAAAAGGGGTGCATATGTATATTTCTATAGAAAAAGACACAGAAATATTTGCAGCATAATGCACGCTCGTCGTCTGTGTGGCATCCAATAAAGTATTATACAATGAATAATACACGCACGCACACACACACACACGTATACAAATGTGCACCCCATATTCGCGCTCCAATGACCAGAATTGGTAGAAAACAAATATAGTGATATATATAACTGCAATATATGGCACATATTGTCTGCTCTCATTGAAGGTTGGAAATTTAAAGCGACCAACATGACAGCCAGACACGTGAGGTACTCTTAAGCCCCAACACACGCAGTCGCACACCCACATACACACACACACACACACACGAACACCGTAGAGGATATGTGGTAAATGAGCTTATTAATAAATAGAGCACGTTCACCGCGGTGGTGGGGGGAAGGGATATACGGAGCGCGTCTTATGCGTTAAAATATCAAATTGCCGATGAGATTAACTTACTTGGCACTGAAGATAGAGGCCAAAGCCAGAAAACAAGCATCTGCCTCACGTGGCGTTGAGGTATAACAACGATCGATTACCCATTCGAGCAACTGGCCCATATCCGGATTTGATTCTAGCAGCAGCACAACCGTATCGCGGGCCAATTGATAAATCTAAACAGTGAAGATGATGATGATGATGTTAAGTATAACAGAAATAGTCTAGCCATGTACCTTCTCATCCTTGGAGGTGAGCAGCAGATCCAGCCATTTGTATATGATGCCATCGTCCTGCAGATGGGGCGTATAAAAGATGTGACCGCAGCAGAGCAAAGCGGACATGGCCTGCATGAAAGATAAAAAAGAAAGGTCACATTTAGATGCGTGGAGTAGCTCCAGCCGCGACTTGCCTGTAAAGCGCTAAATTGCAGCTTCTCCTCCTCGAGAGTTTGGCCAATCTGTGAGCTAATGCTTAGCGGCTTGGAGAAGCTGCCGCACCAGGTGGCAAATAAATTGAATAAATTACGCTTCAAGTCACGCGACAGCAAAGTGGCGCACGATTCCACTGTGTGAATTAAATGGTAAGTTAATAGTTAAAAATCGAATCTCAAAAACCTACGTGAAAAGTTTTTAATCATTTTGCGTATGAAATTGCAAAAGTGCGCCTTGACCTCGCGTATGCTGAGATTATCCTTGTCCGTTTCGGCCATAAGATATGCCATGGCACCCTCTATATACTCCACAAAGGTGGGATGCAGCGACATGGTATCGCGCTCCAGCACGCAAGTGCTACAAATCAGAAAATTATAGCGTGAGCAGCTGCAATTTCTCTGGAGGATTAGCACTGGGCACTTACCTAACCCCGAATGTGCCATTCTCGGCTATTTTTTCCAGCACACGCACCACCTGCAGACGCAGTGCATCGCGGCGACGACGACGTCGCATATTCTCCTGTTTGCGATCAACAGCTTCGCGTATGTAGACCACCAGCTCCTCCATGAGATCCCTGTCAAACGAGAGTCAAAGTCAAGGGTTTTAAGTTTTCAAATCGAAGACAGCAAAAACCGTTCCGCTTACTTGAGCGCATCGTGATTTATCATGCCCAGAGCATTGACAGCCGCATCCCTCACATCGATGGCCTCACAGCGCAGGAGAGGCACCACCAGCTTGTATAGTGCCTGGGGCGAGGCGCTGCCCATTGCTGATTTGTCACTGCGATCCGCGTTTAGGGAATCTGGCGATGAGCTATAAAATAAAATTTACGGTCGTGCATTTTAGTATCGAGTTGTGATTAAAGTTTTGCGCAAGACCTGACTCCAGAGTCCTCAGGTAAAGGCTGCTTTAAGCTGAGGCACCAGCTATTGACAGAGGCCAAGTTCATTCCGCAGACAAACTCATAATTCTATTTAAATAGGTGAAGGCCGCTGTCCAGCCATTTTATATAAATTAACATTTTAAATATTAAAAGCGCACATTTCAATTAAAAGCACAATATTCTTTCTCTCTTTTTTTTTGCTAAAGGTTTTTTCGCTACACATTTTGCCCCAAAACGACAATTTTCAACAGTAAACAATATTTTTTATGTCATTTTCTTTCTGCATGTTAAGGCAAGCAGGCGTGGCAAGCGGTAGGCGACGTGCTGTGGGCGCAGTATGTAAAATAAATAAACTTGTCATCAATTTTTCAACATTTTCAACGTACCGAAATGGCAATAAAAGGGGGCCATACGGCAGCACAAACAGACAAATGAAATTAGTTTACAAATAAAATGACAAGGAAACAAGTACAGTGCGCCAGTCCATGGTGGCAGACTAAGAGATACCCTGTACCCGGCTGCGAGATGTAATAACAAATACTCAAACTATCTTCTGCACAAACATAAAGACATACATACATACACAAACACAGCCGAAAAGCAAATGCTGTCCAGTAATATACATAAATATACTTTATGGGTTTGCAGATGCCTCCATTTGCCTGTTACATACACAGGAAACACCGCAATATGCCCATTTTTGCTCATTTTCAATGGGTACAGGGTATTTAAAAGCCTAAGAATGTGGCTGGGTATTGATTTAACAATTAAAAATAAAACAAAAATGTAAATATAAAAATAAAATAACGACAATATGTTAAATTTCAAGCAGACGTTCACAGTTTAAATTGAGAAGCATCTGATGCTAAAATGTCTGCAACTGGACAAAAAATTTGTGCAAAATGCTTGGCTAACTTAATTTTGAGCAATTTAAAAGCAGCAGCTGAAGTGAAAACTTGTACAAAATGTTTGACAAACGAAAAAAAAGAATCGTTTAAGCTCTTGCTAATTTGGCAAACAGCTTGTGCTAAATGTTTATAAAACTCAAATCAAAGCCCAATGTAAAATTCAAGAATTATAAATAACACATGTCTCAGGAAATGTTTTGCAAGAAAAGTTTGCCAAACTTTTCATTTGACATATGTAGATACATAGATACTTCATAGATAGATAGATACTTTATATAAACACTAAATACACTAAACCTACGGAGTTGTATTAACATCTATGTACATCTATGCTACAAGCACTAAAGCATCAACTTGCAAGCCACAAAGCGCACACACACACACACACACACACACACACACGCACACAGGCAGCTATAAAAGCCACATTAAAAGTAATCGGAGCACAATTATGTAGATTAATTATACGTTTCTTGTATGCGTCTTTATTTTGTTTGGGTTTTGGTTTGGGATTCTGGGTTTTGGTTTTGGATATGGGTTTGGTTTTGGGTTTGAGTTTTTTTGTATTTAAGTGGTTTGTATTTGGTTTGCTTTACCCAAGTCGTTTCTGGCGCGCCTCTTTGCGTCCGTAGGAGAGCGGCAGCGTGAAACGTGTCACAATTCCCTCGGGCCCAAAGACATTTGACGGTATATTGTCCAAGGAATCGGATAGCGAACGTGAGTCCGATTGATCTTGTAAACTATAAATTACGATCCATATATAGTTGGTAATACATATAGGATGTATAGAGCAAACGATGAATTATTTGAAAGTGAATTATATATGGCGTCATTTGAACTCGGGCCAATAACGAGCTGTTAACTGAAATTTATGCTAGAGGACAATATGTATGGACGTGGACATGGATGTGGACGGTGTGTTTAGACGTGGGTGCACTCAGCAGATATTTATGACCAAACCCCATCTGCCGCTGACATTTGACAATGCTAATGAAATTCAATACAAGTGTTGTGATTGTGACCAGTGACAATTTGGCCAACATGAATGAACCAATATGTATATGATATGTATCTTTAAATCACAAAATAATTAACGAATACTGGCGAAACCGCGAACGCAGGCAAAACAAATTTAATTCATATGAAAAATGCTTAACAATTCGAAAAGATAATGCATTGTTAACACGCAAAACCAGTTAACCGACCAGAAATAAACAAAGTTTTTCAAGAGAACCCACAAACCGAATGCTAGAATGTTGTTTTTAAGTTTTCATATCCTTGCAGAGAGACTCCTCTCTTAGAATTTTCTTACGAAATTTATGTATTTTCAATCCCATTGAAGTATATTTACATACATATATATATATATGTATATGTATATCGCGCTTCTCTATTATTTCTAAGCTAAGTCTCCCTGTTTTGACATTGGTCCATCTTATTTATGGGAACAACTGGTCTATGGAACTACTATATCATATTTCTGCCAGAGTAGCTAAGGTCTAAAAAACCTTTTGGATTTCAAGATATATATGTACAAACAAAATATTAACAGCATCGGACCATCATATCCATAACTAGCTCCTATGCAAACAGTCAAAAAATTAGTTTATGTATGAAAAAATATTTTTGTCAAGATTTTGTTGCTAAACAGAGCTTTGCGCCTAACGTTTATGCAAAATATTGTTAACATCGAATCACTATATCATAAATCCCGTACAACCTGTTGTAGGTGTGCGACTTTTACATAAAGATATCCCGATGAGAGCTTGTTTTTCTAGTCTTAAGGCAGTTTTCAATGTTTGTTTTAGATTATAATGAATTAATATTTTCTTTTCAATGAAGATCTACATACCAATTTAATATGTAAGCATGTTATACATTATTTTTTTATATTAGTTAAAAGAGAAATATCAAATAAAATTGACCAAATCTTGGAAAATATAAAGAAAAAGAAAGCAATTACTTGCCTGAATAATAACAAAATTATAGAAAGGCAACTTAAGTTAATTATATATGAATCAGAGAAGCAACAACTATCTATTTAGTATAATACATTTCATTAAAATTTTCAAGCTGTTAATCAGAGCTGTTTCCATTGCGCAATGAAGCCGTCTGCCTCATTTACATGTAGCCTGACCGAAAAGCAATGCTTAAGCTTGCGGCAACAATTGCAATTTGAATTTCCAGCGAAACATAATTTCCAGTTCGCAAAAACAAACTCATAGCTAACATACCAAATGTGTAGGTGTAAGTGTGTGTGCGTGTGTTTGTTTGTTTTCGATGGAATACACAATTACAATAACAACTAAAATTACAATGCAAATTATGCAAATTAAGAGGTCGCATGAAGCACTTCATGAAAACCTCAAATCAAATAAGATTTGGAAAAGGGCATAAGAAGACTAAGCACATACATACACACAAGAATAAACCAGATCAAAAGAAAGTTAGACAACATTGTACAACATGACGTATGATTGATTTTAATAGATTCCGTGCAACAGATATACTTTTCCACTCAGGAATTTTGATTGGAATTATGCAAATGGCTTGGATAGAAATTCAAAAAAATTTATTAGCTTCCTACAATGCGCTGGTGCATTTTATTTGATTTGGAAAATATTAAAAATTAAAATTTCATTTTGCAGACACAAAGTATAATCACAATGTAGGTGCAGGTGTTTGTGTGTGTCTGTGTGGCATGCTACGTGTGCAACGGCAGGCTGCTGTGATTACACAGGATAAACAATTGGACAGGTGCATGGAAACGCAACTTAGTTAAAAACAATTAAACAGAAGCTCACAACTAAAACGAATTGACAATAAAATTAAAATGGATTTGCATACTGACAGTTATAGGATTTGGAACAGGTACACGTGCACCGCACTTATAATCGAATGCAAAATGTTAATTAAACACAAAACAAATGAAATGTTTTATACGAATTGTGGTTGGGTTTTTTCGGTGTGCTGAATGTTGTTTGTACTTTCAAAATGTGACTGAACATTTTCTAACTTACCTCAAACTCAAATCGGGCGAGGCACAGCGCACAGCAACGCTGGGTATTTGGGGCACCAGGCGCATGGCACATGCCACCTGGTTGCGCCAGAGACGCATATACGAATCCTTTTGGCTCTCGGTGGGCATTTTCTTAGTCGGAGCAGAGCCGCGCAGCAGCGAGGCGCGATTATCGCTGACGGGACTGTAAATTGAGAGACATAGATCAAAAACGTGCACCGCCATTTGAATCTAATACAGTTCAACTTACGTGGGATCTATGACGCTATAGAGCGCGTTGAGGCGTGCGTAGCAAATGGGCCAAGCCTGTGCCACCGCTGAGGGGCATTGCTGTAGCACGCGCTGGCGCTCCAACAGGCCAAACAAACAGCTGGCCCAGGGATCAAAAGGCGGCTGCGGGCAGCTGGCAGTCGCGGCCGCCGCAGCAGCTGTGGAGCTAGACTGCGACAGATTCAGCGTCGAAGTGGAGGACTTGGAGTTATCTGCAATAATAAAATAAATCTCTTTAGATGGTCTTAAAGCAAAGAGCTCCATTGCTAGCCTTACCATCTGTGTGTCCTGCCAGCCAAACGCCGCTGCTGCGCTCCGCTATCCACTGCAGATCAATGCAGTTGGCATTCAGTATGGCCGTCTTCTCCGCCTGTGGCAGCAGTGGCAAACACTTCTCCACAATCTGCGGACAACAGCGATCCATAACATCAATGAGCGGGGGCTCCGTTTCGGGTATGCCCAGGGCGCGCGTTAGATTCTTGACCTCCTTGAGTATCATGGCCGCCAGCTTGCGCAAATAGGGACGATAATTGCAGAGCAGCACCAGGGCAAAGCCTTCAACAAAGTGCAGCGTCGTGATCAATGGTATCTCATTCTTCTTGCTCACATCGTTGGACACCATGTTAAGCACCGTGTGCTGCGTGATGCTGGACATGCCGCTGGAGGTGGTTATGCTGGACGCAGCGCTGCTGGCCGTGTTCAGATGCTGTTGCTTCGACAGCTGGCTGCTGGTCGTCTCCTTGCCAATGACGGGCGGTATGGCCACTGCCGCCACCGGCATGGCCTGTACAACAGCTGTGCCGATGGTAGCTCCCGCACCGCCAACTTTTTGCTGTGCCGGATTAATGCCACCGCCAGTGATGACCGCATTGGGTACGCAGCTGCCGCTGCTGTTGTTGCCGGTGCCGGCTGCAGCGCCGTTAACATTAATCGCGCAGCGCCAAATGTTTAGAAAGACAAACAAGATGCGCGTGCAGTTCTCCAACAATTGCGGATAGGTGTCGGTGACATCGCGCACCAGAAACTGTGTGTAACCGTGCACGACATCCTGACGCCAATCCGGAAAGTCTATGACCAGCGTCTGCAGCGATTGATGCGTCAATATGCGCAGCTCCTCATCCATATGCACGGTCAGGCGGGACAGCAAATCGACCAGCTCCTGGGCGGTCATCGTATCGGGTATTAAACGAGGCACTGCAGCCACACACGTCCGAAAGAGATCAATGCGCGGCTTGCGCTCAGCGGACAGTCTCTCGTCCGGCTCCTTGTTCTGGTTCTGTGTATTTGTCATCATTAACGGCCGGCCGCAATGCACATCCAATGCACGTAAGATGTCCACAAAAACACGACGCACGTGAGGAAAGTATGTGAACATGCCAATGCTACGTGCCGTATCGTCTGTAAGCATCTTATTGATGTACGTCTTTTTCACGCGCAGCGTATTCCCTGAGGGCAGCACCGGCACGGTGCGCGGCATTGGCGGCTCGCCGTCCTTTTGCTGTAATGAGTCGGCAACTACTAGAAATGCACGCAAGCCGATGCTCATGCGCTCCGGATTGAGTATGACCTTGATGGAGCGACCCACACACAACAAATCGTAGACGATCTCGCGCATGGCAAAGTCCAAACGTTCCTGAGCAATAAACTGAATGATCTTTACAAAGATATTCAGCGGAGTGTCGCGCGGCACGACACCCTTGGAACCTCTGCAAGGGAAAGAGTGTTAAAAATAGAGGAAAATCTTTTCAAGATATGCGTCCACTCACTTGGGAAACAGCGAATTGACAATGCTCTGCAGTCGCGAATGCGTCGCCGAATTGGACTCGCACTTGATCCTAATCATGTAGACCCACAGAAGGCGATAGAGCGACTCCAAGGCGACGCGACTCATATTGAAATCGCGATTCTTCAGATTGCTCAAGCACATGGCCAGAAAGTAATGCCAGTTGGTCAGAAAGAAAGTCTTTTGCGAGACGCAGAGCAGGCATGTGACCAGCGGAAATAGCGCCAGGCGATGCTTTGACTTGGTCGATGCGTCCAGCGTCTGCACATACAACAGCTCCACAAAGTTCTTTACACACGGCACATTCACCTCATTCTTGACGGCCTGCAAGGGGATAGGGTTAGCTTGCTTCTTGGTAAATGGATCAATATACTTACAGCCGCAACGGGCACTAGAATCTCTACAAAGAGTCCGGCTAGGGCATGCTTAATGTCCTTATCCTTCACCTCCAAAAAGTACTGGCCACATTCGTGCATAAACTGAAACGAGGCCTCGAATTCCTCAATGGGCACCATTTTGACGCGAAAGAACTTCATGCCCATCAATAGGCTAATGATGCTCTGCGTCGTGGTGGGCGATGCCTCCTTGCCGCGCAGCTCCTTCAGCTCGAACATGAAACGCTTGCGCACCGATGCAAATCGACTTTGGGCCAGCACGCCAATGACCTCCGCATAGAGATCCGCAATCATGTGTATATTATGCGCATTGGGATTGTTTTGCAGGCCATCTTTGTACTTGAAGTGCTTGAAGGCCAGATTCTCGATGCTGCGCACCAGATCCTCATGGCCCGGATGAAACGGCAGCTGCTTGAGTATCTCAATTAGTGCCAGGCAAAATATAAACTCAACTGCCGCCTCGCGACGCTGCAGCTGAAAGTCCAGATCCACGGTCGTCTTGTTCACAGCCTGAACACTGCTGCCCGACGCTGGTTTCTTCAGATCATTCTTGATCTCCATGTCGGACAGCTGACGTCGATGCCACGCGAGCAGCGTGTGCAGCAGCGAGGGCAAACAATGCTCGGCAACTGAGCCCAGCGCCGAGAGCAGCTGATCAAATTGCTGATCCTCGCCGCGTTGCAGCAGCTTCGATAGATTCTTATCGGCGCTCTCCAGCATCACCAGCTCGATTTTCTTTTCCGCCTGCGCTGTAAAATCGCTAAACAAATTGCGCATAACTATTTCGCCGGGACGCGGCGCCGTCAGCTCCACGCTGGCCACACTGGCCGCCAAGGCATGCATCTCCGCCTGCGTGTAACTGGGCAGCACGTTAATAATAGAGCTACGCGAATGTGCGCCCCAAGGCAACAGCGATTGCCGCTGCGGTATGATCAAAGGCGGCAATGCTGCAGGAGGTGATGCGTAACTTTGACGATTGGCGCTGTAGCTAATGGTCGCCGTGGCCTGGACAACGCCGGACTGTTCCTGATTAGTCACCGACAGTTGCTGCAGCTGTTGCTGATGTGACTCATACTCTATGCTGTAAATGTATTCTTCGCCAAGCATTTGATAATTTATGGGCGATGTGGTGCCACTGCCATTGGCTGACGCCGAGGCGGATGCTGCTGCGGCGGCGGCTGCTGCACCATTAAGTCCTATGCGTCCCAATTTGGGCGTTGAGGTGTATTCGTTGGAGTTTATGGAATGACGCTGAGCGGGCGAACTGTTTCCCTCCAGATGTGCCTCGTTATCAGCGTTATCGCCGCCAGCCAGATAAACATCTTCGTGGTAAACGCTGCGTTGTGGGCTCTTTGTGGGCGTGGTATTGACAGCTGTGGCTGCTGCTGTTGTTGCTGCTGTTGTGGTTGTTGTTGCTACAACCGTTGCTGCTGTTGTTGCATTGGGACTGCCCGCTGCCGGTGAGCCAAGAGCCGCATCAACAACAACTGTGGCGGCCTCACTCACGTGTTGCTCATTTGGGTTTTGATTTGTGACTGTGCGGGAAAAGCAAAAACAACAACAAAATATCAGTTGTAAATGGATTTTTGTTTTCGACGCTTATCAATACGCAGAACTGGAGCGTAAGATAAAAATGTATCTACGATATGATTCATTTATTGAGTAAGCATTACAAGCTACCCTTTAGCAACAACAACAAAGCTGATGTCTGTATGTAAAATTTGTTTACTCTACAATTATGTTTTTGGTTTTTTTTTTTTTACCCAAAATGTTTTTTTAGTTAACACGCGCCTAGCAAATCATATCTGCAAATAGAAAATATTATTATCTCATCATCGAACATAATGTGTTTATTTTGTGGGTGTGTTACTTTTAACCCTCACATCGGGCAGCACAGGAAAACAATACCCAATAGACTTTGTCTCCGTTCGTTATCGCTAAAAGTCCAATTCCTCATTTGTTCATTTGTTGACTTGTATCTTAATTAGAAAATGTTAACGATGCATGGAACATATATTCATTATCGTCATATCGCATGTCTGGCAAAAATATAAAAATATCGGCAAACAGTTGTTTCTGTGTGCAGATTTACACATCGATTCGATGACGGCATCACACATCAACATCAACCTTTCCATCTATGCGAAGCAACAGATGACACATCAAATCTGAAGCATGTTCTTCCTGATATGATATTATAGTCAATAATATGAAATGCACATATGTTTGTCTATCTCCCCTCTTTAACTTGGCGCCATCGAGCAGCGCAGACAAACAAACACTTTATGATAACAGTTCAAGCGAAAGGCCAATTTCATCATATACTATATATACATTTCACTTAGCCCATTCAAATAAAATGAATTGTTCTGAGTACCATAAGTCTGTCATGTACGTGGGTCATGAACGTTCAAATTCCATCGAAGCTCATTTCTTATATATCAAATATTTAGTCAAATATTCGAGGAATTGAAACATATAAACATGAAATGGTGTCGAAGACAGTAAACCCTCCGAAAGTGGAGCACCAACAAATTAAAATTGTCCAGACACAAGATTGAAGATTGAATTATTAATCGGTCTTTGTGCAGATCGTATAAGTTTAAATATAATGCAGAAATCGAGAACCTCCAAAATTAATATTATTCGCAAACTAGAATCAGTTCTGGAACTGAAGAGTTTTATGGAATGAAACACCTCTTATCCCATACATAATACTTCTTTCTGTTCAAACTAAAGATTTTCAGTCTTAGTCTAGTTAGAAAGTTGAAGAGTTCAGATATAAATCCACAATACTAACATAATCAAATATTCAAACTTATAAAAATATATTCAAACTTATCAAACTTATAAAAATGTGTTACGTAAATAATAATAAATAAATAATAACTCTTAACGTTTAAACCACCTTCAGTATCTATCTATTTATTTGTCTTTATATATATATTTGTTAACTTCAAATCTCTTGCATGGCATTCGCAAAGGCTACCTTGACTTAAGTTAATAATTAGATCATGTCCGACTAGTCTCAGCGACCCCTCACCGCTGAAATCAATACGTTCGAGCTGCTTGTCCAAGCTCAGTCATGCATCAAGTTCAATTCTAACATTCAGTTGTCCTTAAGCTGTCATTAAAGGACCAGCAACAAAAGCAAAAACAACAACAACAACGACTGAACAAACCTTTCTATTACATTGAGCTAAAAGTAATATAAATAATAAATGGTAAACGGTAAGGGTGAGAATGTGGCAGGCATTTGCCATTGCCGGCACACGACCGTCAGCTGTTCCACAGGACTCACCAAGGACTCATACGACACTTAAAGGTCGCAGTCGAAGTTCAGGGCAAAAGGTTCTGCTGTCACTGAATAATTGATAAAGTTTAAAAGAGACCGCTACGTAAACGTATATCTTATATGTATATAAGGCCGCCCAAGCTGTCATGAAAGTTGCGCAAAATTTACGAAAATAAATGAGAATTCGATTTTCTTTGCTTCTAAATGCAATAAAAGGTAGCCTTATTTCTTTTTTCGTCATTTATCTAAACATGTAGCCCACATGAAAGCTGAGGAAAACAAAATTTGAATGTGGCAAATGAAAGTGCCCGACTAGGCGTTACCCTGTAAGGTATGTATTAGCTATGAAAATCTGCAAACGTTAGTTGAATTTATGAAAATCGCATAGAAAGGCGATCTTAAGAAAGACAAAATGTTAGAAAGAGAGAATGCGATAGAGAGCAAGAAAGGCGGCAATCGCCAAAGGACTAAACAAAGGGCATGGGAGACAGCTGGTGATAGAGGTAAAGCTACTTAAAGAGAAAGATTGGAAGAGAGAGAGAGAAAGAAAAAAAGAGAGAAAGACAGAGAGAGATAAAGACAGAGTGAGAGAAAGAAAGGGAGAGATCAAGATTTAGCGAGAAAGACAGAGAGAGTGAGAGAGAGATAGAGTGGGTAAAAGAGAGAAATGGAGAGCGAGAGAAAGAGAGGGATAGAGTAAGTAAGAGAGATAACACTACATTATACCCTCTTTACTCATTTTCAATGGGTGCAAGCATGAAAATGCGCAGAAAAATATGGAAAATGGCGTTAGGAATATAAAATCCAAACTGACAGCCAAGACATATTCTCCCATTTGTTTATGTATATTATTAATAACGTATTAACACGCTCCGATCCCAAAAAGTAAGCAAACGAATGGAAAACGACTGAAATTCTTGTTATGAATGCGCTATGGATGTGTCATTTAACAAGCAACAACAACAACAACAACAACAACAACAACAACGAGAAGAACAACTTGGCAGAGACAAGCGACCAACACGAATCTTTCCTCTTGATCTCTGCCTCCCCACTTAACCGTGTCTCTGATTCTCTCATCCAATTTCAGTGGGCCAAAAGTTGAAAAAACTGCAGCAGTGGCAACAAAAAAATAATATGTTTCTCTTTATTTTCCAATGCGCAGTTTTTTTCATAATATGAAGAGCCAGCAAAAGTCGAATATATATCAAGTTATTTGTGGAAATTATTTTTGTATAACTTGTTGCTCAAATTTATGATTTGTTTAGGAGTCGTTGTTTATTACCAGCCAATCGCAAAATTGTTGCATATTTATTATACACACAACAGACGAATTGAATTTATCAGCAAAAAGTAAAAAAAAATAGAAAAGAAATACGAATTTTCTCAGAAACGAAATTTTATTGATTTCCTTTTAGCTAAAAAGATAAAACCTAAAAAAAGTTGAGAAATGTTTTCTCAACTTTTTGCCACCCACACGGATATATTTTAATTTTCGATCTGTTTGAAATGTTTGCACATTAAATGTGACATATTAAGGGCATATTTATGATAGATTCTTAGTTTTAGCGAGCTGTTTGTTACCTTTTAGTTTTTTTGGTGTCCATTGAAAGTTCCATAACATGAAACTGGCGCATAAATTTGCGAAATAATCACAGCTAGGAAAATGTTGCCCAGGCAGTTTTTCAAATATTTAAACACAACGAAATCAAGAATTCTGAATATAAAGCGCGAATAATTGGCACAAAATTACAAACTTTCTTGAGGCGCGTTGTGGTGGGTGTGTGTGTATGTGTGTAAGTGTGTGTGTGAGTGTGTGTGTGTGTGTGTGAGTGTGTGTGTGTGTGTGTGTTTAGCGATTAAATAAACGCTGGCGTCCGTAAGTACTTAGAGGCACGTGAGCTGTGTGCTCTATCTAAACAAAAATTATATTTATGAGTTGTAATTAATTTTGCGCCGTTTTGCTGACTTCTCTATGCAGGATTATTTGTTATAGCTGTTGTTGTTATTGTTATTGTTGTTCGTTTTTGGCTCTGATAAGAACAGGCCACAAAGCTCATAAATGTGTCACCGCAAGGCAAGTGACGTTAATCGAAAAGTCAAGCGACCCGAAAAAATGGATTTCTTTTAAAAATAAAATAAATAACCAAAAACACTTGTATTTAAAGACTTGCAGGCCGAGATTAGGTTGTATACAACAACAACAACAACAACAACAACAACAACGAGCAGCTGTTCATAAATTTTCGGGCGTTAAGTCTATATAAATATAAATATGAACGATTATTGTTTGTAATTTTCACAGCTTTTATATTATGGCATAGAATTGGCTTGATGTATGTATTTATAATGCTTTTTTATGCTAATGAGCCAGTTTAAAGGCGTCTCAAAAAATGAGCTCAGCGTTTTGAATTTGAAATCGACACACGGCGCGGCTGATGACAACAACAACAACAAAAACAAGAAGAAGAAGAAGACGAGTAGCAGCAACAAAATTCAGTTGTCAAATTACAATTTCGAGGCAATTTAAAGTATTTATTTATATATACGTGAGCATATATATTTATAGGTGTGTATGGCACATATATCTTCACGTTCACATCGCACACTAAACACAATTTCTGTCGGCTAAAACAAAAACACAATTGTATTTATATATTATATACACATATAGTGTATATATAAATCTCAATACGCAAACGTAGCAAACGTAAAATGCTAAATGCGAGGCGAACTCTGGCGACGACTAATTTCGACTGCGGCGAAAACGCGCGCGCGCCTCGCAGCCCAAAAAGTTCCAAGCAGCGGCAGCAGCAGCACCAGCGAAAGGCAGCAAGAAACACGAGCAATAAGTAACAAAAAATAAAAAAAAAATACCCAGCGTAAAGCAAAAACAAAAAATAAACTGAGCACAAATCGCGCGCGCTCGCAAAATGAAAGCACAAAATCAAAACAAACGTTAATTGTATAGTTAAAATTATGATTAAACAGCATAAGTCGAGAGAGAGACCGATAGCAGCAAGTGTCACAAAGAGCGAGAGAGAGTGAGAGTGGGGTAAGTGTGAAACAGCTGTTGGTAGCGGCGAATTGGAAATAAGAAACTAACAACAACTCAATCAGCTGAGCAAGTGGCGTCGACGTTGGCGGCGACAACATTGGCACTCGTACAGCACAATGATTAGCATTTTTTGTTGCTGTTGTTTTTCACTAATATCTGCGGCATTAACATATATTAGTTTAAACGAAATAAGGCTACATTACAAATAGCTTAGAACAAGTCGTTGGGGGGGGCTTTTAGCACGTAAATATTCGCACTTTTGTACCACGCTGCGTATGCGTAATCGCACAGGCACACACACACACACACACGCGCAACGAGTCACACACACAAGAACAAAGCCTAAGAAGCGTCGCGTCACAGCGCGCCGCGGCTTACATTGTATAACCCGTTCTCGGTTGCGCCCTCAACTATGCCGCACGCCATTTGTTTATGCATTGGGTCATTACATAAATCATCTTTAAGTGTATTTATTATTTTTATCGTATTCGTATTGGTTTTTGAGTGCGCAAATTTCTATACAAATATTTGCAATTTTTTTTTGTTTGTTTTCAATTTGTTGTCGATTTGCTTTGTTGCCTTATTTCGCAAAGCTTTGCTAATCATGCGAGCTACACAATTTTTGTAACAATAAACAACGAAGTTGATTATTAACTGTGGAAGCCATAAAAAATAAAAATCATACACAAATGTTTTTGCAACACACAAAAAGGAAAATGGCCTAGGAATTAGCACATTTTGTAGTTACCTCTCTCTCTCTCTCTCTGTCTCTCTCCATACAACTCTCTCCCCCTCTTGTAAGTGTTAGTTAACGGCTTTTATTGCAAATTACATCACGCCCACGCCAAATAAATTTGCAAAAGCAAAAACAAAGACAGCAACAACAAAAAACACGCGATGACGAACACGCGACCGGAACGCGCCTTTACACACGAAACAGTTAAGAAGGAAGAAGAGGAGCAAGCCTGAGAACGCACTGCAACTTGACACTTGGCGCGTTGGCAAACAAATGAGCTTTGGAGCTTCAGGACTGCGCCGACGACGGCGACGGCGACTGAAACGGAGACTGAGCAAGAATCGCACAACTTATGCAATTGGCTCAGGTGCCGCACATAGCTCACTCGACATTTGACTTTTGGTGAGCAGCGGTGAATTTTTTGTTCTTTTTATTTTGCACTACCACCAGCTGAAAAAATCCGTTGGATAAGTGCCAGAGGTTGTGACCACACTGACTGACGTTCTTGCTTATTGTGAATGTCATTATCAAGGTTTATATTTTCTGCGCCCGTTGTCTGTCATTTTTTTGTGAATGAATGTGCGAAGGAGAAATTGAGTGGGGAGAGCGAGTGTGGGAGAGAGAACACACCCACTGAAAGCTTTCGTCTAGGTCTAGGTCAATGCAGCGCCGAAATACGTTTGTATTGGTGATCATCTGTGACTTGCGATTTTACTCTTCTGCTCTCAACGGTGGACCATATAGCTGTGTGTGTGTGTGTGTGCGGGAGCACTGTGTCTGTGCGCTCATCTCCAAATGTACGTTGCAACGGTAAATAGCAGCCCCTAATGCCGCAGCGCAATAACAAATTGCGTCGCACAAACTTGAGCAGAGCCATCAATTATGGCGGAGTCAAAGAACAATGGCCATAAAAGCTACACAAACCGACAGACAGAGGCAAATGCAAACGGTCTGGCCACTCGGAGACAATCAAAGTGAATCATCACTTAAGAAACGAGGAAGCAAACAGACACAATTCGACAGACACAAAAGCGCCGACGCAGAGTGCTAAACACGGCGGAGAGGGTGCATGTTAGGGAGCCAGGTGGTAAATACACACGCACATACGCACACACACGTGCACAAAACAGATAAAATGTACACTTGATAGGTGGGCGTAAACAATTAGCAGCGACGTCAGCGGCAATTAAGAACAAAAAAAAAGGGGCTGCGCCCAGGCAGAGCTAATTGAGTCGCACAAAAATAGAACTCACCTGCAACGCCGGCACTGAGGCCATCCAGAAATGCCTCCGGCTGTGCATGCAGCTCCAATGATTGTTCCATGCTTGCTTTTCTGGTCCAAAACACTTGCGTACACACTTAATACACCAAGTGGCCGTGCGGACGCTTTGCAGCCATTTTGGTTTTCTAGATGTGCGTTCAGTTTTGCACGCACTACCGGGACGCGCCGGCGAACGGTACACTTGCACTTGATGTTAATCGAACACAATTGAATGCACTTATTGGCGAATTGCAAATAAATTTGAGAAAATTGCTAAACGACAAATTGTAGAATACGTGAGTGGTAAGAAGAAGCAGAATACATAGCAATCACACACAGCTGTTTTTTGTTTAGCATGCAGCGTTGCCACCTGACGTAGGCCTTGCCAGCCTGCCGTGACATCACAAAATTATTGCAGCTGTATTATATGTACATATTGTGTTATATTGTTTTATATATTTTAATAAATTATCTAAATACGTAAATTTTTTTTAATAATATAATATGATGTTTATATGCTTTTCATTCTATACAGTTTTTGGTCTACCTTGGCATATTTTTCTTATAAGCAATTCATTTCGGTATAATGCGTTTTGACAACCCTAACCCGAAGAAACAGCTGATACTGAATTTTTGTTTTGTACGCTGAGCGTGCTTTTGTTATCTTTTATCGGCAAATCAGTGTTTACTTAATTTAGAAGCGCAAAATACCCGTGTGCTTATCAGGGATATTGACTATCAATGTTGTATTAATAGCTGTTGAGCTAGTCCAACAATGGCAACGTTGCCTGTAGCCGTACATCCGCTAACCGGCGACCCAACCGCCGCCTGGAATGAGATCAGCAAAACCCAGCGGGTCATCAAGGTGGTCATGAAGCCACCGACGACGACGGTGGCGCCGAACAAGGCGCGCGTAGTGTGCATGTCGGACACGCACTCGCTGACGCCATACATCAAGTTCGATATACCCGATGGTGATATTTTTATACATGCCGGCGACTTCACCAAGTGCGGCCAGCTGCAGGAGGTGGTCGAGTTTAACAATTGGATTGGCGCCCTGCCGCACAGGCACAAAATTGTGATAGCCGGCAATCACGAGCTTAGCTTCGATCGCACCTTCACGCATCCGTTTCAGAACAAGGGCCAGCAACATACCGAACGGTGGGTTGAATATCCTTATGGCTACGCTTAACTCATATGAATATTTGGTCTTTGGCAGCTCCAAGCACACGGGCATGACCATACTGGACGATTTGCCCACGTTGGGCAACGACAAGGAGAGCATGGAGAGCGCCGTAAAGACGCCCAACATACGCGAGGCCTTAACCAATTGCACTTACTTGGAGGACGAGCTGCTGGAGCTGTGGGGTGTACGCATTTACGGTTCGCCCTGGCAGCCGGAATTCTGTCGCTGGGCATTCAACGTGCCGCGCGGTACCGCCTGCCTGGATAAATGGAATCAAATACCCGCTGGCGTCGATATACTCGTCACACACACACCGCCCGTTGGCCACGGGGATCTGTGCTGCTCGGGCGTGCGCGCCGGCTGCGTGGAGCTGCTGAGCACGGTGCAGCAGCGTGTGAAACCCAAATACCATGTATTTGGTCATGTGCACGAGGGCTATGGCATAACCAGCGATGGGCGCATTATCTATGTAAATGCCTCCACGTGCGACATCAATTATTTGCCCAACAATGCGCCCATTGTGTTTGATGTGACGCTGCCGCCAGGTGTGCGCAAGGACTAGGATCGTAGATGCCGCAACCCAAACCGTCTTCTATTTATTCAATCTAAACTTAAGTTGCCATTCAACCCAAATAAGGAATTTATTTTATGCCCCACCTCAATTTATTTTAAGTTAGTTTTTACAAGAACCACAGAAAAAATGCTCATTAAATGTCCTTCAAGCTGCAACACTGTCTTAGTCAAGTTTCGCACCAGCTGCCGATCGCGATTGCAACTCTGCAGCGAATTCGGCTTTTGACAGTTCGCTTTGCGCTATCCGGTATAACGGCATCCATCCAGTCGCCGCAAAAGTTCCACAGCCTCAGCCATTTTGTTCTGCAACGTGGCCCAAGAAGAAAAAGTGGAATTTGTTGCCGGCAGTTCAGAAAATTAGTATTTTAAATTGTTTTGCACATTCTAATTAGCTGTAATTGGCACACAAATTATGGTGAGCGGCTTGCCTTAAATAAAGCGTTGGCAAAATTACAACCCCTATTTTTTTCCGATTGTCTTAAAGCGCGAAGTCATCTCCATACAAATCGGCCAATGCGGCACGCAGATCGGCAACGCCTGCTGGGAGCTGTATTTGCTGGAGCATGGCATCAATCTGGACGGCAGTCGCAAGACGGACGAGCAGCAGGTGGAGAGCGGCCGTGGCGCCAGCGTTGGCCAAGGCGCCACCGAGAATGATGCGCACACATTCTTCATGGAGGCGGGCAACGGGAAGCAGGTGCCGCGTTCGATATTTGTGGATCTGGAGCCGACGGTGATCGACAGCGTGCGCACGGGCCCCACACGGCATCTGTATCATCCGGAGCAATTGATCTCCGGCAAGGAGGATGCGGCCAATAATTTTGCGCGCGGACGCTACTCGATTGGCAAGGATGTGATCGATAAGGTGACGTCCCGCCTGCAAAAGATTGTGGAGCAATGCGAAGGTCTGCAGGGTTTCCTCATCTTCAATTCCATGGGCGGCGGCACCGGCTCCGGCTTCACCTCGCTGCTGATGGAGTCCCTGTCCAATGATTTTAGCAAAAAGTGTAAACTCAACTTTGGCGTCTATCCATCGCCCAAGGTCTCCACGGCCGTGGTGGAGCCGTACAATGCGCTGCTGACCACACACTCGACCATGGAGCATGCGGACTGCGTCTTCATGGTGGACAACGAGGCCATCTACGATATATGCAAAAGTAAACTGGGCGTGGACAGGCCGGCCTATAACAATCTGAATCGCCTGATTGCCCAGATTGTTAGCTCGACGACCGCCTCGCTGCGCTTTAGCGGCTCCATGAACGTGGATCTGAATGAGTTCCAAACGAATCTGGTGCCCTTTCCGCGCATCCATTTCCCCCTAGTCGCCTATGCGCCGCTCATGTCCGCGGATCGTGCCGCCCACGAGCAGCACGCGATCACCACGCTGACCAATGCCTGCTTCGAGTCCTCCAACATGATGGTCAAGTGCGATCCGCGTGCCGGCAAATACATGGCCTGCTGCATGCTCTTCCGCGGCGATGTGGTGCCCAAGGATGTGAACGCCGCCATTTCAGCGATCAAATCCAAGAGGCATATACAATTCGTTGACTGGTGTCCCACGGGCTTCAAGATCGGCATCAACTACGAGAAGCCCGCCTTTGTCCAGGACGGCGATCTGGCGCCCACCTCGCGCGCCTGCTGTATGCTCTCCAACACGACGGCCATATCGGTGGCCTTCTCCAATCTGGCCTACAAATTCGACCTGATGTTCAAGAAGCGCGCCTTCGTCCACTGGTACGTCGGCGAGGGCATGGAGGAGGGCGAGTTCAACGAGGCGCGCGAGGATATTGCTGTGCTCGAACGCGACTTCAATGAAGTCGGCCTAAACAATGATGAGGAGGACGAGGAGTACGCCGAGTTTTAAGCCACCTCTGTAACTGCCATCAATAAACTATTGTATTCAAATTCAATGCAGATCAAATGATGGATCTTATATAGTCAGAGCCAGATGAGCTCTGCCAAGTCCGTTTTTGCAGAAGGGGCATCTGTTTTAAATTGTACCTTGCTAGATAAGTTATTTTGTAATAGTATATATCATCACTCAGCTGGTTCCCCAGGCAGCATCCATTTCAATAATGGGCAACTCCCATAACTCCAGGATTTCATTTATATTTTCCAATATACGTAAGTTCTATGTATTATATAGATCTGTGGATCTTTAAAGGAACTCTATTAAATGAAGCAAATAGTAGGGATAACAAAATAATAATCGGTTCCATTTGGCAGGCAATCCAAGTTTTCAATAAGAAGAAACCAGATAAGTTGCCTAAAAAGAACCCAACTTCAAATTTGAATAAAGTATTGGAAAACTATTTCAAAAATAAACTCTCTTTTCGAATTCGAATTATTCATTTTAAATCCGAAGAACCAGATGGATCAAAGCGGATTCACAAACCTAAAGACGAATCATTGGTTCGAACCTTGAACCGAATCAGTCATGTCTGATCTGCCTACTATATCTACAGTATCCAACCAAAGTTTGGTTCCAAGTTCTTAACATTTCCTTTAACTCCCCAGAAAAGACACATAAAAGCAAAGTTTTTCAGTCTCTTTTTAAATTTTTTTATTTTTGTTTTGTATTTTTTTGTTGTTGTTTGTTTGTTTGTTTTAAACGCCTAAATTTCTTTTCAATTGTTGTTTTTTTTTTTGTTTACTTATTTACTTAAATTTACTAAAAATTTTTATTTGTTTGTTTTGAACTTGCAAGCATTTTCGCATCAAAACTTATTTTAAGGAAACATCAAAAAGTTCTTGTTGCACAGTGTAAAATTACAATTCTTTTGTGTGTGGTTGTGTGTGCATGTGGGTGTGCATGTGTGTGTGAACGTGTGTAGGTGTGTATCTTTTACTACATAATCTATACAACTAACTTTCTCTCTAAGAGCTGATAATCTTTTACAAAATGCGATATTCAATTAGTTTACGACAAAATTTTAACAAATCAAAAATGTGGTTCGTTTGTTTTTTTTTGTTGTTTTTGTTTTAGTTTTTGTTTCTAGACAAAAAGAAGGCAATTAAGTGTGCAATTGTTGTTGTTGTTGTAATGTACTTTATGCTACTTTATATAATTACATAATGACGATTAGTGTTTTTGTTGTTGTTGTTGTTGTTGTTGTTGTTTATCTCATAGTTAGCAGATAATAAAAAATATATAACGATGAATGATGGCAAAAGATGCTGCGATTTGAAAATTGATTGGTTTGTTGTGTTCATTCTGTTATGCTGATGTTCTTGTTGTTATTGTTGTTGTTGTTGTTGTTGTTGTTTTAGTTGTTGCTGCATTTGGATTTAACGCTTAATATGGAACATTTGAGAAGAGATACGAGACGCTCTCGCCATTGTGTGTCCGTCTAACTGCCTCGGCGAACATCATGGACACATCAATGCACTGCAAAAAAGAGAGAGACAAATTGAGTATTGTTTATAGAGAGAGAAAGAGAAAGAGAGAGTGTGCGAGGTCTTACCTGTATTTTGGGGCAATCCCGCATGTGTCCATCCTGCGGTATGGTATTGGTCACAACGACCGCCTCGAAGCAGGCATTATTAATGCGCGAAATCGCCGGACCCGAGAAAATGCCGTGCGTCAGTATGGCATACACCTGGATAGGAGATAGTTTTCATATTAGCAGAGATTCCCAGTTAAGGTTAGCCAGTCCCACCTTGGTAGCGCCCGCTTCGACGAGACGATCGGCGGCATGGACAATGGTGCCGCATGTATCGGCCATATCATCGACCAATATGGCAATCTTATCCTTAACATCACCAACGAGCACCATGGAGGCCACCTCGTTGGCCTTCTTGCGCTCCTTGTGTATCAGCGCGAACTCCACGTTCAAGCGATCCGCTATGGAGGTGACACTGTATGGCGAATAAATGGATATCAATATATATGTAGAGAGAGAGAGAGAGAGAGTATTTAGTATTCGTTTAGTATTTACCGCTTGGCGCCGCCGGCATCGGGCGATACGATAATCGAATTTTTCCATTCGGGAATGTTCTCTTTGATCCATTTGAGTACCGCCGGCTCGGCATAGAGATTATCAACTGGTATATCGAAGAAACCCTATATATGAAGACATATATATATATATATATGTATATGTGTATGTTTAGTTATAAATGATATAGCAGCTGTGCACAGTTCTGTCATAGAATTTGCCATCACATATTTATTCTCAAACTAATTCCTAATCCCAAAAAACTTTTAGTTCCTTTATCTCTCTATTGCTTCTAAACTAGAAGGAAAAAAATTGAACGTTTCTCTTTTATTTTGATATACAAAAGTTAATTTGAGATTAGCGACTGCTTTAGATGGCCGAAAGGATGTCGAACTGGCGCAATTTGTTGGCCGAGGAGCACAAGGAGCTGGACAATTGGCTCAATACCAAGCAGATATCACTTAACCATCGCACACGACGCGATCTCTCCGATGTTGTCAATATGGCGCTGCTCTTTAAGAATGTCGATGCCAAGTTGGTGAACATGAAAAACTATACGTCTCACGGCAATTTGGCCCTCAAGCTGCTCAACTGGGAGACCTTCAGTCTGAAGGTGTTGCGAAAAACGGGCTTGATACTGATGCGTCCGGCCTTGGAGCAGCTCGCCTCGGGCGACCTGAATGCCATACGATCTTTGCTCTTTCATTTGATGCGCATCGAACGGGATGGCATACAGTTGAGCTCACGTCGAGCATCTCCGACAAAGGGACATCGCCAGCAGTCCGACAATCGGGATGATACCCAGGAGGAGGCCCCAACTCAGACGCTGACACCAACAGAGCCACCGACACCCAACGCAACACAATCGCCGACCCAGACACAGAGCCCGACACAGAACGAAACGGATACAAATGCACAATTATCGCACAATTTGAGAGTAACCTATGCCAATTATGAGGAACTGAAGCGCATCAACGAGAAGAAGGAGCAATATATCGTGTCTCTTAGCCAAAAGGTGCAGTATCTAGAAAAGGTCATACTGGAGAAGGAGAAGCGCATCAATGAGCTCCTCGATCACTTGTCCACACTATCGGTACGCATTATATCCATGCAGACGTCGCTCACAGATGATGCACTGCCCCAGCCCCAGCCTAAGCCCAAGCCCCAGCCAGAGTAGCCCAGGACGGTGGGCAAATAAGAATTTTAATTGGGTCTCAAACGCTTTTGACATTAACATTAATTAACCATTCACCATTCTCGTTTCTCGACTTTCTCATACGATATTTTTTCCAATTTTCATCTTCATATTTTGCATTCTTCTTAATTTTTGGCATTTATAAAGTAGTACGATTAATGAAATGTAAAATAAAACAAAATTGTTGTGTTATGCCCCCATAATTGAGAGTTTTTCAAAGTAGCTGATTAATGAGAGAGATATAGATATATATAATGTGGATCAGTATATCGTCCGTCTATATGCTAGGCAGGATCATGTCATATAGAGGATAAAAAAACTCTCGTTATTCAAGATTTCTGGCCCAAACATAGCTTATATAATGCTTACTATTAAAGCTCAATCCTATCAATATCGAACTACTCTATATCCAATGTATACCTGAGATAAGATCTTCTAAGGAATATATTTTTTTCTATAGAAAACTGTTTTGTTCTTCAAAATATCTGAAGCAGACTTGACAAATAAGAAGTCCTAACATATCTGCCAAATAAAATTCTGGCCTCTTAACATATCTGCCAAATATCGAACCGAAACACTTCAGCACAACTCCTAGACGAACAATCCCTCGAATATAAAACTTTGGCATATAGGAACTTGCGTTCTTTATTCTCTTATATATGATATTTTCGATGGTACGCTTACCTGAATCTGTGAGGCATGTAGATCCATGGTTATAATATGATCCGCACCGGCCACTGATAGCATATTAGCGACCAATTTCGCCGAGATGGGCGCACGGCTCTGTGCATGGGCCAGCGTAGAAAAAAATTAAATATATTATGTATCATTAGCGTAGCTAGTAAATAATTGATATCTTATGATTGTACTATATACATGTGGTATATAGATATAGTATCTTAGGGCTAGGCATATGAGAGAGTTAACCATGGATACAAAATTAATAATACATATACATAACATATAGATACACAGAATATCGTAACAATCCAATAGGTAATAAATATCATAGACAAGAACTTAGATTTTTTGACAAACACAAAGGACAACAATGAGCAACTGTTGAGCGCGATCAAGAGAGAGATTGAGAGAGAGAGAGAGATCAATGGGAGAGCGCACCAGTTACAAACAGAGAGAGAGAGAGAGTATGTAAGTGCGAGTTACAATTTTAGCAAATAAATATAGTTATATATATTCACTTGAGATTGTGCAAGAGAATTAAAAACGGGATTTTGTTATATATTTTTTTTTATCAGATTTTCGAATCGTATTATAACTGAAGAACAGAACTAAAAAACCAGTTGAAACTAACATGCATTGGGATTTATAAAAAAAAAACAAAACGTGTTTATTAGTCAAACTTTTCGGGAAAGGAAACTCAAGAAATGCAATGATGAAGAAAAAATAGATGAAAATAACAAAAACTGCAACTGTTTCAGTTAAAGAAAATGTGAAAATTGTTTAAGCTGTTTTTTTTTTTTTGTTTAGTTTAAAGATATAAATATGTATATCGCTCGAAGCCGTATAAAAATAAAAGCTCAGACCCGCCGCCAGCTACTCACAGTATATTGTCTGGGTGAAAACTCCTAAGCACATATTAAGAGATATATTTTGGTTTTGTTTTTTTTGTTTGTTTTTGTTTTTTTTTTTTGGTAATTGGTTTTGGTTATACATAGTTGATAAGAGTCGAAAAAAAAGAAAAGAAAAAGAAGAAACGAAAAGTTGAGTGAAATGTTCCGTTCAAGTTTTATAGAAACAAAGAAAAGAAAAAAGAAAAAATAAAAGTAAAAATAAAAGAAAATTGATATTGAGACAAAAGAAAATGCTGGGATCTGGATTGTGCATTATTTGGTGCTAAATCTTTGAGATTAGTATCACATTAACAAAATCTTGTACAGAGTTTTTAGACAGTGTTAGGAATTTTGAAAGGGGGGCAGCAACAATGGGAGCAAGTTTAGATTAAATCAAGGATACATTTTGAACCTATGAGATGCCATATTGCATATATATAAATATATATGCGATAACTTAATATTATCAGACAAGAGTCTCAGTCGATTGAATGCGATGTCAAGAAACGCATTTCGAGTTCAAAGCAATGCACTTTTCCCAGAGATTATTGTAACTCGAATCACGTATCTGTTCAAAATATGGAAAAATATTTGTGCAATTACATATGTAAGACCCGGGTTCAAGCGCACAACAAACAAATACTGTCTGAGATAGAGATACGAGCTATAGAATGCCGGACCCCCAATGCACTGGAAAAAGAGCTGACGTCAAAATAAATAAATGACGCGCCTAATGGGTTATCAATAATAAATAAATCTATGAAAAACACAAATATAAAAACTCTTGTTTTTTTGGTTGCTAGGCAACAAATTCTTATCAGCTTTAAAGGTTGGATTTGAGCCGGGTTTTTGTTTTTTACGGAAGGGGGGAAAAAACTTGGTGCGCAAACTGGTAAACAATAGCAAGGATGCAACAACAAAATAACATTTAAAAAATAAATAATATATTATATGTACAAGTACTATATAGTGCAACTAGCATACTATATGGCATCAACGAGACGTGACAAAATAGACGAGCAGACAGCAGTACGAGTAAATTGAATGTTTATAAATATATATATGTATATAAATAATGTGTTAATATAAGTATTAAATCATATTTTTTTTTTTTTTGTTGCAATGAAGCGCCGCCGCAGTCGACGTCGAACGTCGCCGCCGGGAAACAAACCGAATTTGAATGCGCGAAAACCGAAAACAGAAAAAAATGTGGAAATTTTTGTATATTTTGCTTAACCAATTCGCTTGAAAAATTCACAAATATAATTGCTTAAAATATATATATATATATATATAGTTAGAATTTTGCTCTAATTGCGCTTTTCATTGCATTTGTCGTTCAATTTAATCAGTTTTTATATTTTTTAGTTAGTTTAACATGCAGCACGTGTATTAAACATAAAAGACAAAAGCTGAAAACCTTTTTGAATTTCAAATTTGGAAATTGTATTTAAAGCATTGTCGAATTGAACTTGTACCAACATATTATTGTTATTCTTATAATTATTATAATTTTTTAAATTTATTTTTTAGGTACCCGGAGCCCAGAGGTGAGAATAGTTTTGCAAGTTGTTTGGCATTTGAGATTCTTGAATGAGTTTGATGAGTTTTTTTGGTTTGCCCTTAGTACTTTTGTAGAAAAACAAAACAAATTGAAAATTAAGTATTTTCATAGCATGAAAAATGTGAGTTTGAGTTGAGTTTGAGTTTGAGTTGTTTAACTAAAGGTAAATACCCTAAATTTCCAATCGTAGTTTTTCTTGGCAAGTTTCTTGCTTTCGTCTTTCTCCTCACCGCCCGACAACTAGTGTGAAGATTGTTATATAGATCGTATGTTGGCAGTAGGATATACACCGCGAGAATTGGGTAGATAGAGAGTGACACACACAGAGAGTGATTGAGAGAGAGAGAGTGGTAGAGAGGTAGAGAGAGAGAGAGGGAGAGCGCACGATCGTAGCAAACAGCGGCATTAACATAATTAATTGAAGAAAAAATACATAGTTATATATATATATAAGTAAAATGTACAATATTATATTAAAATTTAAGTTTTAAAATTATTTATAGATCTACAAATTTTCCACATTTTTACGATTTTCTTTACAGCTTGACTTCCTTGCAACCATTTTTGTTGTTGTTGTTTTAAATAAACGAAAAATATTTAAATTGAATTACAAAATGCAAAAAAGAAAGAAACAGAGTAACTAATAATATATAATATATATATGTATATATATCAATATATATATATGTATATATAGGTATAGGTATAGGTATTGGTATGTGGGTTATTAACATTGGACAGTTATATGCTTTACTGTCTAGAATTCTTGCTGATTAAACGAAATCCGAACTAGTTTTGCATTATCTCATAGATTGTGTGTGTGTGTAAAGAATTGTAAGAAATAATTTATATATAGTATATATAAATAGGAGAGTAGAGAGCGGGCTGTGGGATGTTATATATGTACATATATCCCTATAAGGCAAACCTACCTTATCTTTTTTGTCTTGGCGGGCATATGGAAAGCAAGGAATCACAGCTGTAACACGAGAGGCTGATGCTATTTTGCATGCATTTATCATGATCAGCAGCTCCATTAAATTATCATTGATCTCCCCGGAACCGGACTGCACGATATAAACATCTTCGCCGCGCACCGATTCCCCGATTTCGACGCTGAAATTGGAGGAAACAGTTTATTGGATTTGATTTTCGTAATCAGAAATATGTTCATATGATATGCAGGCAAATAAATAAGTACAACAAACAAATATAGTTTATGGTTTTTTTATAGTGTATATCGAGTGTCGCCTCTCTTCTAGCGAGAAATATGTCGTCAGACAAGTGTTTACACTATTTGCTATTTGAGTCCGGGTAACATAAACATGGCCCTCTTAAAGTCTCCTGATTTGCTCAGACTATATATCAATAATGCTGACGTTTGCTGCGCTGCTTTGACCTCTGATTGGGGCAGGTCGTTTGGGCCAAACAATCCAGCGCATGATCAAGGTCTGATCTTTTATCCACATATACCCATCTCTGCTGTATACTCTTTATACTCTTTATACTCTGTATACTCTGTACACTGAGCTAATATAAACATGGTGCATATGTTCCTTACCTTTCAGTATTTTCAGGCAATATGTATATAGATCTGTTTAAATGCATTACTCCATTGCAAAAATAAGTATTTTCGTCTAAATAAACTCAAGCTATTAGCTTGAAGCTCGATAAATATCAATTAATTTGATATATGCAGTAACAATAGTCGGGCACTACTATCTGATATTCTATAGCACATATATCATGTGGCTGACAAAGGAAGCAGTCCGTAGGCGGCTTTGCAAATGATTTATAAATACAATAAATAATGTAGCTACAGTATGTTTCTTTTAATGGATTCCTTGTGGAATTATATAGAAATTGAATGCAGGGTTCCATTTTATGATATTATATAGGGAATGGGATTATTTTGTTTAGTCTAGTGGCGGGTTTTTAAACATTCTCGTTTGTCTTGTTTACGTTTTGATTTCCTTTCTTTGCATTTCTTCTTCTCTCTCTCACACACACACTGTCTCACACACACACACACACACACACTCTTCTTTTGGTCATTGCCATTGTTATTTGCATTGAAGGTTAATTGAATTACGTGTCGAGAACTACGCCCAGAATATCGAACGTAACGTCCATCGATTGACTAATTTGCCCCCTGTCAGTGCCACGCCCACTGTTCGTGCCACAAAATTGATGGCTTGTGTGTGTTAAATGGACACTAGCGCCGGCGTTCGAAGCTAATCGTTTGTTTTAGGAATTATGAGCGCTTGGCTATCAGCCGTTCGCTCAGCTGTTGGGCTGTTGGGCCGTGCGGCAAATATTACGCATACGCCGCATTGTTTGCTTTCGATTTGGCAAAAACATTGAATTAGCAGCCCGCTTTTCTGCCCGCTGCAGTTGCAGTTGGCGTTGCATGAAATGAATGCATTTTTCTGCAGTGTTTTTTTTTCCTCTTTTATGTTGATAGAAAAGCTAGGAAAACACTTTCGCCGCTGGCATTGCTGGCGTGCCAAACGCTGGGTGGACGGTTCTTGGGATCTCTATTGGCCGAGGGCCAAGCACCTGCACCTGCCCCGGCAGCTGTCACTGGTTAGACCGTTGTCTAGGAGCAGCAGCTGGCCGCCTGCTCTTTCTTTTGTTTTGCTTCGTTTTTTTTATGCATGTATTTTTAACTAGCTGTTTGACTTTTATTTCTGTCAGTCAACTGACAAGCACATGTGTGTGTGTGTGCGTGCGTGTGTGCGAGTGTGATAATGTAATCTATAACAATCGCCGACTTGGCACATGTAGGCATATACTAGATGCTTTTAAACCGTATCTTAGCATCTAAATCGCATACGCCTGGCTGAACATTTGCCTCCACCACTTATCAGCAGCTGACTAGGCTTAGCCCTTGCTCCCATTCGAAGCGCCCCAGTGCAGCCCGCATACCCCGCATACCCCTTGATGGCGGACAGTGTACAACACGCAAATTCCTTATCGATCAAACTTTTCAATTTGTTATTGTAATCGACTGTTTTATATAATTTGTATATTTTTTATATTTTTATTTTTTTGGTTTGTTGCGTGTTGCGACCTTTAGAATTGGTGACCATTGGCTGTTGGTTATTGGGAAATTGCATTGGCGGTTGGATTTGGGTTGCCTTTAGCAAGGTCATTTGTGGCTAACCCCTGCGATGGGTATGAATAACAGCCCTGAACTAAACTGTCATTAAAAGTGAAATACTTAATACCGAATAAAAGTGAGTCTTTAATATTTTTCCTCCATTTCATGACATTTCCTCATATTACAATTATATGTACAATCAATCATACGATTCGTATTAAAAATAAATAAATTTTGATGACGTTATCTGAGCACCCTTCAAGCAGAGTCTTCTTTACAACCCAGGCCGATGTGCGTCTAATAGAGACAACAATAACAAATTTCATTGCCCATCAGCACATAAGCACGCTCCAATCAAGTCAAAGTGCAAGAGAAATAACAACAACATCAACAAAAAGAGGAAGAAGAAGTATGACAACAACAAGAAGAACAGTGCGAGTAACCTAACTGTCAACATATTAGTTACACTGTTGCTGTCAGCGTTCGGCGAGAGCAAAGCAGAAAGAAAGAGGCACAACAAGCCGACAAGTGCGCAGCACAAATGACAACAACAATTAGGACAACCACCGTGTTGTTGTGTCTGCGTTTACAACACACACGTGGGGGCCGTCGCAGCGCTGTCGAGAACAAAAGAGCAAAAGAGCAAGCAAACGCGTGAGCACAACGCAGCAGAAACATTAAGATGTGGGGGCGGCGTTGACGTAGTCGTCGCCTGACTTATGAGTGGCTCTCTTTTGGGCGCTCTCTCTCTCTTTCTCTCTGGCCAGCTCAGTGGATGGCGAAAAAAACGTGACAGTGTCGTGTTGTGGTTTGCTTTTGCTTTTGCTGTCTGCGTCTGCTGTTTCTTCTGTTTTGGAGTTTACCTTTGTGTTAGTTGCGTATCGCTGCGTATGTGAGTGCGTGTGCGGGAGCATAACAATATACATGCACAAGCGAGCGTATATGTATGCAATACATACACACAAGCGGAATACTCACGCTCATTTGGCAAGCGCGTATCATGTCAAAAAGCTTAGCGCGCATTATTTATATTATAACCTCTAATTTTTCTTGCCATTGCCTCACTTCTTTCGCCTGCTTTTGCCTTACACTCTAATTGTTTGCTAATTTACCTTTGTATAATTTTTCAACGTTTATTTAATTCCATTAAAATTCTTTTAGGCCGCTTTGTATGTGTATTGGGCATTTGTGTGTAGCTGTATGCGTTGATAAGGCGCCAGCCCAGAGACACTTTATTATTATTTGTTGTTGCAGCAGCAGCTGACTTGCTCTGTTGTGAGTATGGGTGCGTGTGTGTTTGTGTAAAGCAAAGCTGAAGCTGGGCCGCTAGCCGAGTCGAGATTGCGACTAGGAAAAAGCACATGTGCTAATTTAATTATGCATTAAATAAATTTTGTAAATTTATGTGGTGCCTTATTTTAAATTTTTTTATTTTTATTTTACTGTCGGCTACAAATTGCACGCGACATTGGCGGTGCTGCCAGAGCGCATTCGTCTTGGTGTTTGTGAGTTTGATTGTCTGTGTTTGTGTTTCTGTATGTGTGTGCGTGCGTCTGTGTGTGTGCGTGAGTCGCACATACATACATACATACATACACAAACACACGGCAAGCAACCAACGACTACGGTGTACAGTCCACTTGTTAAATCAATAAAAATAAAAAGCACAAAACGAAATGTTTTAAGAAATCCATTAAACCAAATGCACAATGAAAATGCCAAAAAACACTAAAGTGCAGCCACACACGAGTAAATAACAGGAGGCAGAGGCCAGACGGGCAGGCAGGTAGGCAGGCGGAAGAAACACATGGTACACGTATCAAGAGCAACCTTCGGCGAATGTCAAGGAGCGCGTTGACTGGACACTCGAACACAGTTAAAAGTTTATTTTGTGCACTTATCCCACATTTTGTGGTGTCACATTTCACACAATTTGGTTGTTGATTTTTATTTGAATTAACGATTGGCACACGCGGTTTGTTTGGTACTTACCATGTTTCCAAATTGCTAAACTTCTTGGTGACCACTTTGCCCAGGTCGATGCCAAGGCGATCGACAATACGCTGCGCCAAATCCGGATGCGAGGTGCCCGAAAACACTTTAATGTTTGGCATTCTGGAGTGTATTAGATTTAGACAACCAGCCTGTTTCTCCAAATTGTCTCGGATCAAACTTCTAGCGCGTATCGGATTAGCAGAACGTACTGGCATCACACAATCTACGAGTACAAGTTTTTATTATAAAATTTTTTTTGCAAAAGCAGCGGCAGCGACGTCGCCGCATTCGCTCTGGCATGGTTATTTGTATGTGTATGTGTATAGGGGAATAGAGAGAGAGAGTGGGAGAGCGCGTGTAAGAGAGCGAAATGTGTACATGTAAGCAGGCGATGGCAGCAGCAGCCGCAGCAGTAGCAGCAGCAGCAACAGCAGCAGAACGAAAGCATTAGTTGGCGCTCTCTCACACTCACGCGCCAAATATTCATTCATACATCTGTCGCAGGCAGAGAAAAGCTTGTTTGTGGTTAACATGCAACAGTATGTGTATGGGTCTGTGTGTGTAAGAGAGAGAAAGAGAGTGCCGCAGCAAAGCCACCCCAAGCAGCCATGTGATTATTTGATATATTGCTGTCGCAACCTGTGTGAGTGAGCAATTGCTGTATTGTGGCCAGATCGAGGCGAATACACATGATATATTTAAAAGTTCAAGCAGAAATATTCAAAGATTTTCGAAGACAGGCATTTTTTACTATTTATATGAATGAGTAAATATAACATAAAGTGAATGCATGTATTGAAGCGATATTTTCGTTTCTTGTTCATTAAGAAAGATCCTTGGCCCGGAAATGCAGTCTGGCAACATTGCCTGCTCTCTTGCCGCTCACACGTTCAGAGTGCCAACAACATTAATTAAAAGCTTACGTTGCCTGATAAAGCCTTACGCGACGCTCTCTCTCTCGAGCGCGACTGTGCTGGTGTACCTAACCAAAATAGTCTAGCATGCAAGCAGGCGCGTGCCAAAAGCTTCTATCACGACACAAGTCGAACAGCTGTTTATATGGCTGGGGGTTTTTGCAATGGCCGTGAAATGACTATTCAGCCTTACAGTCAAAATGCGCGAAGACACACACACACACACACACACAATAGGGATACCGCATTTAACAGCAAACAATACGCACCCTCCGTGTCGCCAGAGCATTTTGTATTTGGCATGATGTAAAATTTCTGAAACTCTAAAATAATGTTAAACACGACGCGCGCTTTTCACCGCTTGTCAGATGCTAACGGTACACACGACTAAGAAACGGCCAGCGTATTTATGAAGCGAAGAGCGCGAGCACGTAAAATTCGCACAGCTTTATACTATATTATTGTGATTTATAATAATAAATTTATTAGAGTGCCTATGACAGTAGATTAGACTTTGACAGCAGCAGGGAGAACAACAGAATTGAGCGAGCGCAGCGCCGCCAGCAGCCAGTGAGCAATTGGAAGTACTGAGCGTACACGGCGTATGCGTTTCGCACACACATGCATTGAAACAACACACTCACACACACGAACACCGATGCTAGCGCCAGAAGCTTTTGACGCAACTATGACTATTGTTGTGCTCTCTCTTTCTCTCGCTTACTCTCCCTTTTCTTTGTTGGACAGCTGTTTGGCTGCAAATACGAGGGCTGCGTGAAATGCATTTTAATTAGCATGGCTAATATATTTAGGCTAGCCTTAGGTAATGATCCCCACAGCAACCATTTTAAGGGGCTCGTCATTGCTTCTTTTTTGTAGTACAACTGTACTTGATGCTGTGTACAAGACAAACGGAATGTCTCCGACGACATTTGTCAAATTGTTTTCGTGTCTAAATTTAAATGAACTAAAGCTAAAGCTAAAATGTCAGGTTAAGTGTTTTTGCAAAGGAAGGCGCTGACGTAGACTGTGTGCGTTTGTGTGTATGTGCATGCATGCCTGTATGTGAGTTTGTATGTATTGTTGACGCAAATACAAATGGCGTCGCTGCAATCATAAAAAGTGGTAGGGGGAGCAACCACGTGTCGGCTTCAAATGTGCTGAGAACGCACGTTTTCTATGCCATTCAAAATAGCAAAATATAAAAAAACATGTACACACCCACACACACACACATACACATATACACACACACATAGCATATGCAAAAACGTGTCAGCAATAAATATCAACTTACTTGAAACATGTGCAGAGGCAAATCGGTCGCAAGTAACTTTAACAGCTTAATACAAAAACAATTTGAGCGTTGAACGGTTCTTTACTTAGTCACGTTTCACTTATCTTTCTTTTAACTAGTTTCTGCAGCACTTCAGAATGCAGCCGCTTCAATGAAAATGCAAAAGCTGAATGATCGGCGTCGAAGTCATGAAGTTTGAATGTCGGAGCACAAGAGACCGCGTAGAAGACGCACGATACAAGCAGAGTATGGGAGAGAGAGAGAGTCAGAATCGGAATCGGAGAGCGCATGGAAGAGAAGTCGCGCGGCCGGCAACTCGCTTTGTTTTTTTATTTGGAGCTTGGGGCCGACGATCGTCTGTGTATAGGAAAACAAAGGAGACACGTGCCCAGTAAACAAACGGAGCACCAATCTAAACAAAAACTGTTAAAGTTGTCTCCAGCAGCAGGGCACAAGCATTATTATTACCGTTAACCAGCTGATAAGAACTCAGATAAAATGTATGCCAGGCTTGGGTTTCAAGGTATGTTCAATTCCCACAAAAATGTTCACTGGGTTACCTTTAAAGTCCAACGCGTGTTATGCTTTGCGGCCCCACGCATCATTTTGGACACGTTTTTTTTTCGCTTGCTGTGTTTTTGTTTGTGTGCCGCAAAGTGAAACGTGAACGGCAAAAATAGCCAGACGCTGATTGTACTTATATTAATGAGTCGCAAAATTTAAGATCTGTGTTTTATTTTGCTGCTGTTGCCAAGCGGCCCACCCTATTATAAACTAGACTTGTGTTTGGGTTTTTGTTGTTGTTGTTGTTGTTCATAAGAGACAAAACGAGTTTTGAATGAATGGTTGCCAAGGCGTAATAGAAGTATCTACCTGAGGTCAAATCAAGTTCGTTTGTGTGTATGTTGTAGGGATCAAGCCGAAACCTTGAAATTGTTGTGGAAAAATACCATGCTGCTCCGTGGCGTATGCGTTTAGTTATTACAAGTTCAAAGCATGCAACATTAGAAAAACGAGTATATAGTGAATATAGGCAATTGAAATGGCGCTTTTGTTTCAAATAATTGTCGAAATTTTGCAGCACTGAAATGTAACATTAAAAACGGTTAACAGCAAGCTCCTCCAGCTAACAGAACTCCACCAGCTAACATGAACGCGTGAAATTATCGATAGCATGTTACATTACATTTCGTGTATTCTTACGATCTACGTTATGGGTCACACTGGCCAGCAGCTGACTGCCATTATTTATCGATAGTCTAGCAGCCCTGGCTGACGTGCATAATGTGTTGAGAAAAAAGTCAGTTTAATATAATTGAAATACAGAAGCGTTTCATATTGTTTTTGTATGCTGCCGCCGCTTAGCTGCAATATAAATATATAAATATCAATAATATAGCCCAGCGTCATTGAACTGCGCGTTATTTACACAACAACAACAGCACAAACTAACAACAATCAACAACTAGAACTGCAATCGGCAGCAAAACCAGCAACTAAACAACAACAAAAAATCCTACAATCATGGCGAACATGGCCGTATCACGTATCAAGCGCGAATTTAAAGAAGTTATGCGCAGCGAGGAGGTGAGTACGCCAGCAAATATATAATGCGTCGTCTATAACTAGCCCGAAAGCGCTCCCAGCCCTGGTCCCAAATGGGATTCAAGGACGAACTGCATCGGACTTTGTTTCCGACATTTTTGGCGCGCGGAGCGAGTCAACCAAAAAAAAATAGATAAATTATCCAAATGTGTACTAATCGTGTGCCTAATCAATCGTAGATCGTTCAGTGCTCGATCAAAATTGAGCTGGTCAACGACAGCTGGACAGAACTGCGCGGCGAGATCGCCGGCCCGCCAGACACACCCTACGAGGGCGGCAAGTTTGTGCTGGAAATCAAAGTACCCGAAACATACCCATTCAATCCACCAAAAGTAAGTGCCAATGCTCCATGCAACAGGCAACATCTCAATATGGATGCATATTAATCCCGCTTTTTTTGGTGCCCATCGACAGGTTCGTTTTATAACACGTATATGGCATCCGAACATCTCGTCGGTGACCGGAGCCATTTGCCTGGACATACTGAAGGACAATTGGGCCGCTGCGATGACATTGCGCACCGTGTTATTGTCGCTGCAGGCACTGCTGGCCGCCGCCGAGCCAGATGATCCGCAGGACGCTGTCGTCGCGTATCAGTTCAAGGATAAGCACGAACTGTTTGTGCTCACTGCCCGACACTGGACCAACGCGTATGCCGGCGGTCCGCACACGTTTCCCGATTGTGATTCAAAGATACAGCGTCTCAAGGACATGGGCATCGATGAGCACGATGCGCGCGCTGTGCTCTCCAAAGAGAATTGGAATCTGGAGAAGGCGACCGAGTGCCTATTCAGTTAGCTTCGCAGCAGCAGCAGCAGCAGCAGCAGCAACAACAACAACAACAACTGGAAAACAGAAGCCGCAGCAAAACACCAGCAACAAGAACTTCAAGTTAAGGAGCAGCAGTAGCAAATTCAATAAGAGCATTCTCAATTCAATCAATCAGTTCGTTTAGGATCAATCAATCAATCAGCAAATCACAACTCTAAATTTTAGTACTGTTAGCAAAAGCTGCCCCCCGCAAATCACAATCACAACAACGATATACGAAAATAATTGGGAAATAGTCCAACAAAATCACACACTCACACACACACACAGACACAGACACACAACACCCGCCACGCGACACACACACAAACATTATTTATTGAAATTTTATTTTTGTTTTGTTAATTTCCAAATCCATGTAATTTGACAGTTTTGCGCCCAAGCCGGTTCTCACTTGCAAAGAATAATCCCAATTTCACGTAAGTTTTTTTTTTTTCCAAAAAAAAAAAACCCGCAAACCCATTTAATCAAAATGCGATTTATTAAATAAAAGTGAGTACCGGTACTGGCCCCACAGTTGTTTATTACCTTTTTTTCGTTTGTTTGTTTGTTTGTTTTGATGTGCACTACATTTAAATATAATTGTGTTGCGTTTCCTGCTACAGGTTGAGCCTAGGGCCCAGCCCCCCCCCTCGACATTTGATTATGTTATGTAATAGAACCCAGGGTTCCGTTTGCGCAGCCGCATTTATTGTTAAGCAAGGACAACAACAAAAAGGAAAAACAACAAAAACAAAATTTTGAAAATTGAAGTTTAAAAAAATATATATACAATTTACTTGCAACACTTAAAGAATAATAATACGAAAACATTTGTCATCTTTAACTGGTTTAATTTAAGTCGAAAGGCGATACGAAAAGCAAAGTGAAAATTAATTTTAAAGTTTAAAACAAAATGAAACCAAGCTATAAGAAAAATCTTTGTAAATTGCGTTAAGTTAAATAATAAACAACTATTAAGAAATGCATGAAAATCGGTTAAATCCAACATGCTAGGGATTACCTTCTAATCAGCAAAAAAAATCAATTTCAAGCGTTTGTAAATGTTTCTGTAATATTTTTTATGCATTACTGTTCAATCTTCACACATACGTAATTTTGATATTTGTGTTGTATAGTGTTAAAACTTCACTGGCTAATCAAACATTTGTCTACATTGTCTAATGCTAATATTGTCCTACATTGTTCTAATCGATTCAAGCGTCTACTTGTGCTTTTGCTTGGTCAACTGGGCTGCGCCAGGACCGCATGCCGTGCCTCCAACTGTGGCGCCCAGGCTGTTGTACAGATTCTGATTGCTGTTGCTGCTTCCCAAAGTGCCGCCCAAGTTGCTGGCATTGCTGTTTAGCATATTGTGATTGCTGTGCCGCTGCTTGAGCATCTCCTTCCACTCGGACTCCAGGCGCACATAGGTGCCGCCCAGCGGCTGGGCATTGTGCACCAGACATTGATCGGAGCCCGTTTTCTTGGTCACATAGCTGGCCACCTGCTTCATAATCTTCTCCTCGAAGTCGCGCTGATGATCCTGATTGCTGCGCGCCGACAGCTCACCCGACCAGAAGCGGCCAGAGACGGCGGCGGGCCTAACCAAAAGATTAACAAACGCTTTCCTCACGCATTCAGCTCAACTTACCGCTTGCGTTTCTTCTTGGCGCGCGCCTTTCGCGGTGGCGGTCGGTGATCCGATTCGCAGCCATCGCTGCTGGACGAGTACTCATCATCAAGCAGCGTGTTGCGCATGCGCGCACGCTGCCTGCATGCATCCTCCGAACTGGTTGAGGTTGTCTCCGACTCGGTGCTGGTTTCCATTTCATAGCGACAGCGGCGACTAACCCGATGATTGGTCACTGTGCGGTAGATTTACAGAAGCTTAGCGAAAGTAACTTATCAACCAGATGCAAATACCCACTGTCCATGCAGAGCTGCGGCAACAGGCCCTGGCGGCAGCGTTGCGGCGTCAACGAGATGCCCAGCCAATTGGGATTGATCTCGCCGGCAGCGGCCAGCTCCTGGGTTTGCAATGGCGGCTGCTCACACAGCGCATAGTTCTCAGCGACCAGCTGGGCAATGGTCAGAATGGCGCGCTCACGATCCGTGTCCACCAACACGCTGTGCTCGCGGAACTGGCAGCCCTTCATAGAGAGAGAAATATGGTTAATGGATTACTCGAGATTAATAAATCACATTTACATTTGGACCGGGTAATGTTTCGAAGCGAAATGCTTGCTGATTGCAGCAGGCATAACGTCCAGCTGGTCCGGCAATGCGTCCCTCGGTTTCGGGACCCAGAAAGTTGGGCGGCTCGGGATGATAGCGACACCAGGTCATTTGGTAAGCCGGAAAGTGCGCCTCACACGTGCAGCAATATAGATAGTGGCAATGGCCCCACAGCTTCCAGTAAACCTTCCGCCAGGACTTGAGCTCCTTGAACAGCTGCAACACGTACACATTGAGATCCCAGTTCGTGTCGCGCACATGGCTGCTAACCAGCTGGCCCCAACGATTTACACGTATATTGCTGGGTATGCAGTTCACATGGGATTTCATCGTGTTGGTCACACAGCGACAGCAGCGAGCACAACGAAACAGTCCGGAAATGCTGTAGAAATGTCCGCGCAGTACCTCCGGATCCGGTTCGCAGAGGCTTTGTATAAGCTTTGTCCACAGCCTGGGCGTTACACGCTCCTTCTTATCGCGCACCATTTCGAGCTCCAGATTGGTGAACATGGCAGCCAAGCGTGTGACCAGCGCATCATTGAGGCATGACAGATTCGTTGAGGTGCGAACCACCTCGCTGAGATGGGCATGACAGAAGGTCAAGCACTCGAGCAGCAATGGCTCCATTTGGAGAAAGCTGGCCGAGACCAGTATGGGCACTACATTGTTGCCATCCAGCAAGGGACCAGCCGCTGCATTGTTCTGGCTTGGAGCAGCAGGTAGTTCCTGACTCTGGGCACTGTGCTTAATCCACTTCATCAGCCAGTCAAAGATTTGTATGTCACAATGCACCGATATGTCCATCTCCTCCAGACGCTGCCCAGCCGTCACATCCGCAAAGTAGCCCATCTTGCTGACCAGCAGACTCTGCGGGCAGCTAAAGTCACGCGAGGTGTTCTTTACCTCATCGCACACGTGAATGACGACGTCGGGTCTAAGAAAGGGGGATACAGCACTGAAAACCGCAACGCACTTGCTCCAATATACTCACTCCTTCTTCTCCTGGCGCGCATGTTTACTGTCCTTGACCAGCAACAAGGATTTGCGACGTGTCGTTGTAGTTGACGATGTTTTGGCCATCGGCTCCTTAACTGATGTGCGCACCATGCTATTGACGCTATTGTTCTCTGTCAGCACTGCTCCTAGGCTATCGCTGGGTGAGCTAACGCTGGCCGAGCTCGAGGTGGGCGTCACTAAACAGGATGCAGCGTTTGGGATGGGCTCCGTTTTGAGCAGCAGCGACGGCTGTGGCGGCTGCAGCTGCGGCTGTGGCTGCGGCGGCTGAGGTTTCGTCAACTTGCCTCGTCCGCTGTTGTTGGATGAGAGTGCAACGGGCAACGGCATGGGACATATAAAGGATAGCACAGAGTCCAGGACTCCCTCGTTGATAACATAGTCCAGTTGCTCGCTTAGCTTCGGATGCAGGCCGGAATGCACGTGTCCGGTGCGCATCGATGCCTTGTGCTCCGTCAGCAGCAGGCTGGTGCGACTGCCGTCGTCGCGGCTGCTGCCGCTGTTGCTCTTGCTGCCAAGATGACGAAAGGGACGCTTTAGGGTCAGAAGTTGGTTGACCAATTCATTTTCAGCCAAACTATCGAAATCGAATTCATCTTTTTTGGAATTTCGCTTAGCGAAAGGACCAGCGAGACTCTCAACAGGGGGCTCTGGCTCCCGATTATATGGTTTGCCCTCAACTTTTGTTATCATATCGTTAACGTGACAGGAAAGTTTGAGAAAATCGAGAAAATCATTTAAACTGATTTGAAAATCAGAACCATTGTTGTTGCCCGCTTGCTGTTGTTCCTCCGTATTTGAGTTGGGTGCTGCAGCAGCTCCTTCTTCATCATTATTTGATTTTTCCATTTTACTGACCCACTTTTCAAAAATTGCGAATCAAATAATTTCGCACTTTTTTCCGTTACTTTGGTTACCGTGCTTCTTCTTCAAATTTTCATTCACAGTGGTTAACATTATGCTTCCTCTTTTATTTTGTACAGTAACATCCCATGCAACCCTGGACATGCAATTCACACAAAAGATGTAATTTTGACAGCGGCTCTTTTCTGTTCTTTTCCGGTAACAACGTTCGCAATGGTGGGTGTCCAAATGTCAAAAATCGAATAAAAAACCTTAAATATATATGCAATCATCGCTTGTTAAGCACTAATATGTGAAGAAAAGTGTAGATAAATATGTGCAGCGTTCGCGCTCTAGGAAATTTTATTCGATGCTGCCATTGAATTGGCCCAAAAAGTTGATTGTTTATGTGACCAGAGCCGCCAACTAATCTGTTTTTTCAACCAACTTCCAACTTTAGGGTCGCGTCAGAACCAAGACTATTAAGAAGGCCGCCAAGGTCATCATCGAGAAGTACTACACACGCTTGACGTTGGATTTCCACACCAACAAGCGTATCTGCGAGGAGATTGCTATCATTCCCACCAAGCCCCTCCGCAACAAGATTGCCGGGTAAGTTGCCGCCAAGAAGCTGCTAAAAATGTAGGCGTAATACTTATTGGGAATGTGTCCACAGCTATGTTACCCATTTGATGGGCCGTCTGCGTCACTCCCAGGTGCGTGGTATCTCGATTAAGCTGCAGGAAGAGGAGCGCGAGCGTCGTGACAACTATGTTCCAGCTGTCTCGGCTCTGGAGCAGGACATCATCGATGTCGATGCCGACACCAAGGAGATGTTGAAGCTGTTGGACTTCCACAACATTCGTGGCCTGCAGCTTACCCAGCCCAACACCAACAACTTCGGACGTCGCAACTAGGTTTTATTTGGAAGGACAGTAGATGGTGGTGTCACTTAAATATCTAAAGGTTGCATGGACAACACAATAAACATCGTGTGTGAAATGCAAAAATAGAAATTATTGCCTTGTTTATGGTGTGAAAGCGACAAATAATTGGTGAATGGAATTGATATTAAAATGCATCGTTTGGTTTATTTTCATTTTAATGAAAAATACTGTAGACATGCACATATAAATGTGTATACATTCGATCCATAAATAAATGGGTTTGTTTTTATACAATGATAGACGATATATAAAAGATATTCTCTACAAGTGCACATATGTAAATCTAAGTGTGTACACGAATATATATATGTATATATATAGATATATGGTATATGAAGAGTTGTATATGGTTTGTGTATTTATGCGCTGTCAGCCGCCTGATCCAGATTGGGCCTGCGCACCGGATTACGCAAGACCAGCTCCGAATCCTCCGATATGATGGGCAGTGCATGAACCCAATGATAGTTGATCAGATGGCTGATGCTGTCGAATATGCGGTCTTTGGTTCGCACCACGCCCTCGGGATCGATGAGCAGCAAGTGCTTAGGTGTTTTCCCCTCAAGTCCAGTCAGTACATACTGACCGCGCTTGCCCTGGGATTCACGCACCAGGAAGTCGCCATCCTGCTGCAAAAGACGCTCGGCAATTGGGCGAGAGATGGCAGCATGGAACCATATTTCGGCAGTGAGCGGGCACTGTGGCCCATCGAAGACATCGCGTATGGAACTAGGGGCGGGGCCCGCGACGGAAGCTGCCTGCAGCGGATCGAAGTTGCCAAGGGCCAGTTTGTTGGTGGTTTGATCGGGGGGCGGGGAGTTAAGATCGATGAGATTGCTGCTCAAGCGATCGCGCGGTTTCTTTAAATTCAATTGAGCCACGCGCGGTGCGTGGGGATTAAACGGCAGTTGTGCCAGCGGCTGTTGCTGCTCCTCGCAAGGCAAATCCGGAGGCAGCTTGTTCGGTAAATCGTTGTAATACTCTTTGACATTCTCCTTGCAGCTCTGATTCAGATTGTCTGCGGCAGCGCTAGCTGCATGCTCGTTTTGCCTGCTGAGCGCATTGAAACGCAGCACAAATGCCTTGCCAATGGTCACGATCAAGTCCTCGCTCTGGCCGCCAGCGCACTCCAGGACATAGCAGGCGCGCCACTCGTCGCCCTCGCGTTTGGCGATGTAGGCCAGGAAGTCGAGGGTGTCGTTGTCGCCACCGGAAGCAAACGAAATCCTGGGCATATTGTGATTGGCAATCACTTCGCCCGTTTCCACATTGCTGAGAGTCAGCGCACGACTGGAAACGTTGATGATGATGTTTGTGCCCGCATGCTGCATGCTCGGACGCTCCGATATAAAGTTGTGCAACTTTTTGTCCAGACGCCGTTTGCTGGCAGACTTCAAGCCAGCTGCTTCGCACACACGATTAATACACTCTCTAAAATTAGATGCTGTAGCAGCTTGTGGAGATTGATTTTTGGTTTTTCTATCACCTACCGTGCGAGCAGCGTTCGCGTTTCAAAGTCCAGCGATTTCATGGAGGTCTTGACCTCAACGCAGCCCGTGTAACGAACATTGAATGTTACGCCCTTTTCCAATATGACGTCGTCGGGATATATGCAGCCATCGCTAGTGGCACTGGAGCCTGTGCCACCGTTGCCGGCATCGCCGCCATTCCGTGGCATTTCGTTTGTGTATGCGTATTTTGGGCGTCCTGTGTGTCCTTTGTTTGTAGTGTTGTATCGAGTCGTCGAATGACTCACTTGACAGAATGAACGAACCTGAGTTATTGCATGTCGTTCATTTGGTTCGTTGCAGTTGTCCGATAACAGCTGTTAAATAACATTATTCATAATTTACAAAACGCTGGAATCCGGGTCCTTTGAGCCTCGCTTCGTGTGTAATGCAGAGATCTTGCCACTTTCAGGCCTTTTAATAATGTAGTATTTCGCAAATTATATTTTTATTTATTTAACAGTTCTTCTGTCAGTGTGCCCAACATGTCTTCACTCCATATCGACCGACCGCCACAGTTTGTTTAGCAGAAATCGCCCAACAACTCCAACAATCAGCTGCTGTAAGCGACCTCTCGGTTCAGCTTGTTGCTAGTTAAAAAGCTTGTGGCAGGTTAAAGCTTCAACATAACGCTTATATCTTATTTGACTGTCGTGCATACAACAACGCTTGGTCGGACGCTATATCGTGCGTGTCGGTTTTCTGTGTGTTTTCAAGCGGGGCATATACATACACAGTTGTTCTCAGAGTCGATGCGCTATCGTCAAAGCTGGCAAAAGAAGTAATATAAAGTCAACATACCTTAAATTTAAAAAAGATACCCAAAAAAATATATTCACAAATTATTACGTGCATAAACTGCTAAGCTATATATTTTGCTGTTCTTGCAACTTGCTGTGGTACACATCTCAGACAAGAGCAACAACAGTAGACAATAAAAACTTGTTCAATAAATACAACAAATTTTAGGGTGTAATTCAAAACCGAAGAATTAGAAAATATTTTTATTTTGGCCACAGAAATTTAAATTAACAATCGATAAAGCACCAAAGGCAGCATACAAAACCTGACGGAGACACCCCCGCGCCGGAGTCGCAACTGCAGCCAACCCCCACAAGCAAACGCAAATCTGTGCAGCGGTTACGCCAACGCAGCAGCCGTGCAATTGGAATCTGATTGGAACGCTGACGCGTCGGCTGACTATAAAAACTATATATAAAATAAAATCAACGTATTTGCAGATTATTATTGTTCAGGTAAGTTAATTGCGCTGTTAGCCATTTTATCAAACTTTCTGTTGCCAGTTTCTTCATATTGGTTGTGTATGTGTGTGTGTGTGTGCGTCTGTTGCTGTTTTGGATGCGGCTCAGTGAGCATAAAACCATTTTTACGTCATTTACAGGTTGAAATAATATTTATAACAGCCACACACAGATACATACGAACACACATATATTCAAAAACGGTATTCGTGCGTCATTTGAATGAGACTTTTGTTGCCTTAAGCACTGCGTCATAGCGGTAGTCCCTTGGAGTCTTTAATCTTACACACATTCTAACCTACACACACAGGCACACACACACACAGTTACACTTACACTTCTATTTAAGCCACTCTAAAACATAATTATGTTTTGTACTCAGTTTTTGTTGTTGGTGATCTCATCGTTTGGTGCCTTCCGCTAATTGCCGCTCTAAGCGCTTCAGGTCTGGCCGCCCAACGGTCCAGACATTTAATTTGGCCTTAATTCACGCCTCTGCCGCTTTAAGCAGCAGCCGCGTCGCTCCTAATATGGCCTAGACTAGAGCAAGCGCCGATTAAAGCTGATGACGTTGACCCTCAAACAACTCATGCCGGTTAACATTTATCGGTAATTCTATCGATAACACCCACGCGAACACGACCTTGGCTGCTTCTTGTTTAGCTAAATGCTGCTGAAACAGTTGTTAAATATTTAACAGGGGCAAATTTATACCTTAATTACTTTTAGAAAGTGTGCCCAATGGCTTTAACCTTTGGGTCAGTTTTTAGTAGTACGCTATTAAAAAGAGCGCGACGAACTCTCGTTTCCATTTCACGCTCTGTATCTTATGTTGGAATGATACTCTCTAGCAGGCACGTAGCAAATGGAAAGTGTCATCGCAGCATTGCGTTGCTAGTTAACAGCTCTGTTAAATGCGCTTGGAAGGGGCAATAAACTACATATATATACATATACATACAAATATTTACAGTGGTGCAAATAGCATTTTTTCTAGAATAATCTTGGCATGCCAGTAATTGATTAAATTGTATTTACAGTAAAAGCTCTACTAACGGGCAGCTCCTTTTGGGCAGAAATGTCCTTAAGTTAGCTAATTCTTCTGTATATATGTTTCTGTATTTTATATAGTTTATGTTGACATTTTTCTTTGCAAAAAATATTCACTCCATATAGAAAAAGAACGCTTAAACATTTTGTAACTTTAATTTTACTATTATTTTTATTGTTTACCAAGTGGCTATAAACTTATGCACACGCATGTACATATTTCATTATATCTATATTTTAATATGTAGGTTTATACTTAAATTAGTTGCCTATAAACTATAA